ATATACTATATTTCAAAATAAATTCCAAATTATATATATATATATTATATTATATATTATATATTATATTATTAAATGGAGTGAGAGTAAAGGATTTGAGAGCTTTTAGTCTCACTCCATTTAATTATTTTTTATAGAGAGCTTATTAATTACAATTATTATATTATATTATATTATATATAAAAAAAAATTATATATAATATAACCCTCCCATGGGGTACACCTTGTCGTGGTGGGAGGGCTTAGTACTTGGATGGTGCCTTGAGATTTATTTTAAATTTTTCTATTTACGATAAATCTTATGGTGCTTGAAAGGGAAGCTAAGTACCCTTTCGCGTCGTCGGTGCCGTCAACGTGCCGCGGACGGCTGCGCTTCGTAACCGCGTTTTCGCGTTATAGTATTATCGCGTTATCGCGTTTTCGCGTTTTCAAAATCCCAATTTCGTTTTTGTCAACGAGTCTCTCCTTCCGACGCCAACTAACTGGGATGTTTCATCGAGTCGTTGCTTTGCGACGTACTCGCGCCTTGTGCAACGTGGCACTTGGTGATGCCGGCCGCGCAGAACGTATGTCCAGTACAAAATGTACATGGGCGCGCGGGTTCGATGCTTCGCGCTCGATCGGCTTAGTGATGAACACGCTCTGCTTCGTCAATTGATTTGGCCCGAATCGGTTAGAACTCGATCGATTGTTCGAAATGGTCGTCAATGGGTCCCTTCTCTTTGCTCGTCTACCTTACAGCCACACGCCTAGCGTGTGTTAACCCTGTCGAGGAGTCGAGTGGATTCCCTTAGGCACGATTTTCGCTCGGTAAAAGGGGTTGCCTCCCCATTTTCTAAATTGCTGAATGTTAGCTTTTAAAAAATGTGGGTATCCTCTTCTTTTACCGTCTATCAGCCTTGTGTACTGCGCTAGTGATATAGCATCCGTGCGGGTCACTTGAAATCGTGCTTAGCGGGTCCAGGTTCGATATGAGATAGGATAATTATGCGCGAAAAAGAGCTGGTGAACTTTATTTTCCTCTATTCCGTCAATCGTTTCGTCTTCTTTCCGGTTCGGGCCTAATCTTTGCTCGTTGTAACGTTGCATTCCCGACCTGGTGGCTCGAATTTGATTCTCGCGAAATGAAATGGGATTTTCGCTCGTACCGAAACCGGGAGTGCCGTACACAGTATATATGTATTAAATATATACATCGCGCGACCAAATTTTTAATCCGAATACCGAAGTAGTGCGGGAGTGCCGTTTAGTATCGCGCGTAAAATAACGAAAATAGCGATATAAAAATATCGCTCGTGAGTGCGGGAGTGCCGTTGAAAGTATCGCGCGTCAACAACATGAGAGGAGGAGGAGGCCTGGGAGAGGCATCTTGCATCGGCGGAGCAACCTGATGGTGAATATTTATTATTTGTATATCAATTGTTATAAATCGTACGCATAATAATTCGATCTTATTATTTAAATGAATTAAAGAGAAAATTAGAGAAAAAGATTTTTATAAAAGTTATATAAAACTTTTTAAAAAACTTTCTTAAAAAACAGTTTTAAAATTTTATAAAATTTTTCCACACGTGTTTATCTCTGCTTATTATTTTACACATCGGATATAAAATTCCGCGCGATAAAAATTTTTTGAAATATTGATTGCATTTTGTGAGCATTAATATAAATGAATTTTATATTTGTATGTTACAGACAACTAGCTTCGATAACAACAACTCCGCTGTTGCGCATCAGTGCCGGTGAGTGAGAAAAACTTTTATTTAACTTTAAGGTAACGGATTCGTAGAGATTGTAGATGTAGATTGTAGATTATAGATTGTAGATTGTAGATTGTAGATTGTAGATTGTAGATTGTAGAGTGTGAATTGTAGTAAGTCCGTTGCCTTAAAATGGATGAGCTAGGATAGATTAAATTAAATAATTTTTAATAAATTCTTTCGAAATGCTTTGCATCTATTGCGAAAATATATTGAAGTATTAATTTAAAAAAGAGAATCAAGAAAAGAAAATTTTTTTGTAAAGACTTGATTAGTTTATTAAATCAAGAGCACGCATTAATAATTTTAACAATTTTATCAATTTTTGATACTACTTTATTCTTATAACGCGCACTTATTTTATTCTAATTTCTTATATCATAGCTCATCCATTGTAGAATTTGTTTGTAGATATTGTTTTTAAATTTTACTTTAACTTAAAATAAAGCTAAACAATTAATTAATTAAATAATTGGTAATATCATAAAAGTTATACACACACATGAATTTTATATTTTATTAGAAAATATAGTATATAGAAATTTGTAGTAATTTGGCTTTATTTGAGTTAAAATAAAGTTATATTCAATTATTTAACAAACGATCGTAAAATCGAGCGATCGTTACGATGAGCGTGAAATATTTACGCTCATTTGCCGGCATAATTAATCGGCAAAAGAAGGAGTATTTATCTCCTTTTTCGATCTCTGATTAGAGATCGAGCGAGAAAGTGGCCAGGATCAACGAAAAGTAAGTTCAACACTGGCCTGAAGAAAAGCTTTACGTACAATAGTACGTAATGTCGGACATTTATTCACGCGGTTAGGGCATGCGGTTAGAGAATATGATTAGGGCACGTAATTAAAATAGACGTGATTAGAGATAGGCTTTCCTCGAATAATTTCACTGAATCGAGAAATAGGATTGTTAGGGCTATTAGGTGATCATTAGGTTTTTTTCCTTTCAAATTCCTTTCTATTATGTCATGCTATTAGGTCATCATCTTTTTTCCTTTCAATTTTCCTTTCAAAAAGTAGAGGATTGTTAGTGCTATTATGTGATTAATTTAGCTGATTTTATATTATGTATCTTTTAAGGAATCAGGAAATGTAGGTTTAAATAATATTAGGGAAAACAAATTAATAAATATTTCAATAATTATATTATTAATATTAAGAATTTTTAAGGGATCAATATTTTTTGAGTGTTTTTTTATAGGTATTTTATTTATATAAGGATGAAAATTAAATTGTTAACACTCAATAATTTGTATAGTAATACGAATTCTTTTGCGAAATTTTATGTACTTATGTAATACAAAATTTATGTACTTTTATGTAATAAGAAATTTTATATGAAAAATTTAAAATGGTTTTAATTTAAATAATAATTTTTACAAAATTTATATATTTATATACTTATATATACATTTAAGGTTTTAGTTTAAATAATAGTTTTTATATAAAATTTATATGTTTATTTTCTTATATATAGATGTTTGTGCATTTATGTATTTAAAATTTTAATTTAAATAATAATTTTTATAAAATTTATATATTTATATATATTTTGAGATATATATAATTTCATTAATTGTATTTCATTAATTTTATTTATATAAATTTATCTAAACAGCTTATATTATTAAAGTTTAATATCGAAGATTAAGAAAATTATTTTTTTCAGATATTTGTGAATATATATTGAATGTATATAATATTGAATATAGTGAATATTATGAACATATAATAGGATAGTAGTTTGTTAGGGCTACTCCATATAATGCTCCTCATGCACATGGTTCCGGGGACTTGCGTGTTGGAAGACTAAGGAAAGGCGCGTGGGGTTTTTAGTTGGTAGTCCCTGCCGTTAAAATGGCGGCAGGGAGAGCCCAACACTACCCCGACGGGACCGCTAAATAGCTAAATAGCGGTCCCGTCGGGGTGTGCATAAGGAGCATTTTCCCCACGTAAAAAAAAAAAAAAAAAAATTGTTAAATTATGTTGTATTACATTTTAAATTATATTATATTTTAATAATGAATTTCAACAATGAATAACATAATATCCGACATAAACAATACCGTGCTAATGATTTTGTTTTACGGTCTTGTTATGCAAATTTAAATTTATATACTATATTGCAAAATAAATGCTGCAATTGTATATATTATATTATATATAAAATTATATATAATATAACCCTCCCATGGGGTATACCTTGTCGCGGTGGGAGGGCTTAGTACTTGGATGGTGTCTTGAGATTTATCTTAAATTTTTCTATTTATGATAAATTTTAAGGTGCTTGAAAGGGAAGCTAAGTACCCTTTCGCATCGTCGGTGCCGTCAACGTGCCGCGGATATAAGTTATATAAGTAGTTATATAAGTAGTTATATAAGTTAAAGATATAAATATGACAATAAATATAGAAAAATTTATTTCATGTTTGAATATTACAGTATCTTTCGCGATTGAATAATTTATTTACAATCAATTTACACACATAAGTATCTTGTTATACAGCACTGATGCTACCGGCATTTCGTGCACATAGCACGGAACAAAACCAGAAATTGTGCACATTATATATTACCCTCTGAGAACATTCATGGACTTTGGCTTTGTAGTTCATGTCCACGTTTTCAATGTTCATAGAGGGAGTATCGCTTTCGGAGATCAGCTAAAAGCAGGAAATGACAGTCTCTCAGTCTTCTCTCTGCGACTAGTTGCAATCATTAGTAAACTAATTGTGCATTAAATACGAAAATTCTCAATGTGTTAGACATAATAATAAAATATCCAAACATGTAGGTTAAAATTTAAATTTAAATTTTATTTAATTTTAAATAAAGTGCTTAATATGCATATATGCAATATATAATGTATGTAAGAAATGTATGAAATGTAAGAAAAGATCAAGAAAAATATATAAAAAGTTAATTTTTGATGTGTGAGTCTTATTTCTGATTTTTATAATAGTTTCTTATCACTAGTTGCAAAGTATCGGATATATTAAGGAACACTTCTCTCTTTATATTCATCGTGCATTATTCAATCAATATATTGAAATTTCATATTTAATGCACAATTAATTCAATGCGAATTATTGCGATTAGTGCGCTATTTTAATTATTTTAAATTTCGTGGATTGGCAGCGCTGCATTTGAAAAGGCGCCGAGAGCGTTCGCAACGTTGCATGTTGCGCAAATCGCTCGCTAGATGGCGCGGCCATCACCGAGATGCGCGGCGCGACCGCTGCTGGTCTGCCGACAGTCAAAAATGGCCGGAGCCAGCGACTGGTTTAGCATCGGGAGCACGGTGCTTTGTAAAACCTGCCATGAGCAGGAGATAGAGGGTGAAGTGCTGGCATTCGATCCACAGACCAAAATGCTGATACTAAGTATCCTTTTGACGAAACGGGCGACCAATCGTTGTCGAGGTCGCACGCCCAGACTCATGGCGTGCGTGCGTGAGACGCATAGTGTAAATAACGACGGCGTCGAGTCTGCGACGACCGTTGACCGTGATTTATCGCATCATCGCGACGATCCTCGCGATCCGACTCGCCGCTCGTATTCCCTTCCCTTCTGTCATTCGGCTTTTCCGAATCCTCGACGCTCCGGGATAACTCGGTGGCGAGTCAGGTTAGTTTCGTCATCCATCATCAACCATGCCTCTGCCCTCCTCCATCGGTGCATTCGTTTTGTTGTCGATCATATATCCCGTCGTTGTTATCGTGTCTGTGACACCGCGCGAATTTCGTACCATGTCGAAAACACATGATCGCAACCACTTATAACAGTTCTCATAACAATTTTTTTTTCGAATTTACACCTTGTCAGTGATGATTTTTTATTGACAGTACAGTTTGAGCGAGATAAGCAGCTTGCATTGATTCCTTGTTACTTATAATATTAATCAAGATTGAGAAAGTGTCATTGAATATCTTAGTAAATACTGGAGTAATTCTATGACGAGCAATTTGCGAGCATAATTCTACGAGACTCGTTACAATGGAATTATATTTCATGATTATGATAATACACAAGTTTATCACAATTGCGATTATGTTATTGATAATGTTATCTGAAAACTAGGAAAGAAAGAATTAACAGTGGGTATTATTTTACTTATGGAATTTCTTTTTCAAAACTTCTAAGTTTTTTTACAATCCACTGTATTTTTATTTTAAATTAATCCAAATTTCTAAGATATAATTATACAAATTAATATTCATCTATTATATTTTATGGAAGAGTACTATTCCTTAACAACTTTCTTTAGAATGTCCATCATCGAGTGGTAGACCCTCGCTAAATGATGTACACATAGTAAATTTATCTCTCGTATCTAATGTTCAAGTGATACGAGAAGTTAGTCCTACTACCAGCGAACCACCACAGAGCCTTAATTTACAAAGGCTAAATACAAGAGTTCGTAATCAGGTTGAAGAGAAGAAGAGACTGGTAATGGCTCTGCAGGCCGGAGTATCTCCAGAGGGACAGAAACTCTTTATTGCTATTTCAAAGACTATTCAAGATATTACGTGGAATGGAGCTAATATTGTTGTATTTAATAATGTCACTATTAGACCACCATACAAAGTGGACAATGTTCATGGAAACACAGAATCTGGAGCATATAGACATGTAAAAAAAGTGGTATGTAAACATAAAAAGATTAAAATCTAATAAGTAATATATGCTAATGTATGTATATATACTTCTTAATTTATTAAAATTGCTGTAAATTTTTTTATCAACAAGTAATATTTCTAATAATAAAACATAATTTTATAATAAACAAAATTTTAAAAAATGATTAATAATTTAATTTTTATAAAAATGTGAACATTAATAAAAATCCCTCTAAAAAGAATAAAATCTTAAAAATCATTTTATCCATTTTCTTGCTAAATTGATACAAAGAGAAACATATCGAATATAAAACTAAGCACTTTTTTATCTATTTTACATTCGTATATCTTATCTTATTGCTACGGCAGGTTGAGAAACACATTAAAGATACCGCTCAAGCGCAGCAACAACGGGAACAACAGCAACAGCAGACACAGAAAGGCGGCGAACTGCAATAAGAGTCCAAAAAGGCACTACACCATCAAGATCGCTAAAGATACCTTTCAAGAAGTTCCAATGTTTGACAAAAAATAGGAAGAATTAACGGGATGTAAACACACAAACAGCCTGACGACAGAACAACATAGATAAGCCTAGATCGCGGAAAATTGGCATCTTCGAGTGAACTCCAATCGTTTGTTGAATGGAAAAAGAACAAATGAAGTGTAAATTCAAAGAAAAAATTTCACACATTCTTAACCCGAGTATTGTTAACAGTATCGCATGTGCAGCATTTTATAAATACAATCAGACGTATCATTCGTAATTATTAGTCATCAGCCTAAAAAAACTCTACAAAAGCAAGAACAGATCGACTGATTCAAGTAACTACCGCGTATTTGTTAAACACCACTGATACTACATTCGTATGTAATGTATATCAATGCACCGGAATATGCTGTAGTTTAAATAATTTAATTCAAATACGTTTTTAACAGTCGGTTTATCAATTATCGACATTCAGCATGAAACGTATTTTAGCATAAATTGAGATGGATTCCCCTTTTTAAACGCAAATCCACGCATTCTTAAGATAATGTATATTATTTAAGCCCGTATGAAACGGCTCCAATATTTGCAACAGCATCAAAGATAACGCGCGTCGCGAAGTAAAATAAAATACACAGTTGTCAACATCTCCAACGTTCCGTTCAATTACGTAATTTTCTCAGTAATAAATTGTGATTTATCATTAAGATCATTACGATAACTGTTTTGCAATTTTTTTATCCTTTTTGTCGCCAAATGAAAGAGATGTGTTATGCAATTTTATTAAATGCTGACGTACGAAAGCGAATTTCCATTTATTATCTTCGAATCTTTTCACGACATTTTTCTATTTTATATGTAAGAAATAGATTTTCTAATGGAATGCTAATAATAATTTAAACTAATTATAATTCAAATTTCAAAAGGTCGGCAAACGTGCTTTTTATCCTACTTTTGTAAATTAAGACGCGTTTAATTGATTTAAATAATCCCGTTTCAAAGCTAGCTTTATCTTATTTCAACAATTCCACCTTATGCTCGATTGCGCAACAAAATTTTCAAAAATCTTTCAATCGATAGGAAAAGTATCGAAATAACATTTATCAGCGATGTCTTCGAGTACGTGTGCTAAACACTTTTTATTTCTTCCCGCGCAAACCGAGTCACGAAAATGTAATTTAAAAAAGTCAGAGCTACGATTCCTGCAAGATTTATGCATGAGATCTAATATCGATCCAGATCTCGCTAAAAAAAATTCGAATTCATCTCGTTCCCTTTTTAATTCCATTTTGAATGAAACGATGAGAATGAGAAGAACAATTGTGGGAGATTGTAAGAAGAGAGTTACATGAAAAGACATAAAAATAAATGTAATATAAATTCTGTACTCGTGGTATTATATGTATATATCGCCTTTTCTTTATTAAGCCGTCCATCAATTACAGATTTGTGTCATAAGTTGTGTCGAAAGAAATCGTTGAAGGACCAAGCTTGCCGCTTTCGCGATTCAGCGTTAAATAGACAACAAATGTACAACTACGAGCGTGTATCGCACAGCAATTAGACTACGATCGCTAAAATCAATTATTACCCCATGTTCTCGTCCATCTCCTGGATTGTTTCCGAAACGTCATTTGTCGATTTCACGCTCGCCGATAAATCGTAAGTTACACGGGCGATTCGAGCTGCAGCTTTGAATTTTATTGCAGCCCGATGCTTCTCTGTTTTCTTCTTCCACTGAAATGTAAGAGAATTAATAACCCAGGTAGAACATGAAACTCATAATGACATCATTACGTCACTTAAAAATCATTTTAGAAAAATCATAATGATCTCATTTTTTGATATACTTTTGGCAATGTTTTAGTGACTTATTTTTGATATTAAACAATTTCTAGCGAATTCTGTTGGAGAATATATATACTTCGCGTATGAAATCTTAAGAATCAATCATAATAATCATCATTTTTTATATATATTACGCAATTACTTGTTTATTTAATTATTCATGTAAATTTTAATTATATTTAAGCAACATAATCTTTTTAAAATTATATAATGCGATTATTGAACTTAAAAATTTATGATTCTTTTTTTCATGTTTAACTCATTTTTTAATCATTTTTTTAGATAATTTTTAAGTGATAAATAAAGTCATGATGAGTAATGATGTCATTATGAGTTTCATGTTCTACCTGGGAATCTCGTGCACGTGTAAAAATTCATATTTTTCACCTGCCCTAACATTTTAGGTCGCAACGCGCATGCGCACTCCGCTCTTGGCGCGCAAACGTCAGACGCGTTCGAAAATCTACCTGTCAGACGTAACAATGTTCGATTAACCAATCAGAAGCCCTTGCTCTTTTTATCCCGATTGGTTAAGAACTATTCTACCCGCTGACTAGATTTTCGAACGCATCTGGCGCTTGCGCAAAATGAGCGGATTTTCGAACGCAACCTTGCTTTTCCACACGAGGTATCGCGCGAAAGCAGTGTTCTTGAGTTTTGCCTCTATTGTTCATCGACAGTGGGAATGTGAACGCAAAAGCTACTTGCTTTTTACTAAAGTTGATACCAGTCGTCGTAGATACATCGGAGGACAGATATTGTCGTTAAAGAGTAAAGGGGATTTGTTCAATGACATCAGCCAATTTACGCCGGTAACAAATGGGATAGGTATGGATGGTTGATATGCAACATGTGTATAATTTAATATACATGCTTGAAAAACGAAAAATTGTTAAAATAATACGAAATGTTATAAACTATATTAATTTTTATAGGAGAATGAATAGGCTGGAGCTGTCCCGGTAACTACGAGATTGATTATAATTGACTTTTCAAGGACACCATTCGATGAAGAAAAATAGACGGTTATTCTCAAAATACGGAAATATAAGCGATTGAGTCACAAAACGAGGACACTTGACTTCGCTCGGTGACATTTCACGTAAGTTTCCAACAAGATTTACTTCTCCTCAGCTTAAATCTTTGATGAAAAATCGCGCATACTTTTATCGTAATATTAACCTAACTTAAGAAAAAGCGCGTGTAAACATAAACCTTGTTTTTTTATATTTTACGAAAATTTTAAAAGATATACATACATGAAAAAAACTATCAAAGACACAGGTATTCCTTCTCGAAATTTTGATAAAGAAATAATCCATTTTTTTTATAAAAGTGTAGAAATCATGTTCTTAACCTGTTATAACTTGTCACATGAGAGAAAAAAATAATTTATGTCGAATGTAATTTAATAGTATGTAGCAAAAGCTTGAAATGATTTATAAGGCACAAGAATTTGCATTTATAAGAAAACAGAAAATGAAAGATTCTGTTGAAATGTTCTGTTTGAATTATTTCAACGTTTTAAATGCCATGCTGAAATAATTTATTTTTCTGATGTAAAACTGTATTTATATATCTCATAAATATAACATGTATTATTAATTGTAAAAAGTGGACTTAGAAAACAGCTTAGAAAATGAAGTTAATGTACAACAACGTAGAGAATGCATTGCGCATGAATAGCGATTGTACATAAAATTTAATTGTCCAAGTAGTAATGCAAAAAGCATAATCTAGCACATCAATATTTTTTGAATCTATTTTCTTGCTTACCTCTTCGTCTCGAGATGGCACGTTAGCAAGATACTCTTTCATCTCAGGTTTCTTAGGGTCAGCTATGGCCAATACTGATACACAACCATCGACTGTTCCCAAAACAATGCTCTTGCCATCATGTGTACTATCAATAGCACTTAGCTCGGCTTGCACTCTATAATTTGCTATTATTTCGCAGTCTGAAGATCTATAAAATAAATTTTATTTATATATTATTTATATATATTATATTTTATATTTTTTAATCAATTTTATTTTTTTAACAGACTGAAATTATGTATAATTGCAAACAAGATGAGTAATCTTTCAAGGAATCTTTTATAATTTTATAAATTCATAATCTTATTAGATTTTTCTGTTAATTTGCAATACTTGCCTGAAAACTCTAATAGTTTTTCGACCACTGTGATAGTAAAGCACATATTCATCTGTACGATTAAACATTGAAATAACAGTGAATACTCCTTCAGCTACTTTGGATATGTATGTTTTCACGCTTGTGCCCTTCTTTAACTCTATGAGTTCGAGACCACCTCTGACATATAATATATTTAATCACTTAGCATAACAATATGTGTTTTATCTATCACATATTCACACATATTTACATATATTCACACACCTGCTAGGAGCATACAAAGTATATTTGCCATCCTTACTAATATTTCCAGTCCATTTTGGAATTGTGCGTATAATCTTTTTTTTATTAATATCAAGAATTGTACCCTTATCAGAGCCAATAATCCCTATCCATTGTGATTTGTTGGGCATAGGGGTGATACATAAAATATCCTGTTGAGAAAGTTTTCTAACGACATGATTATATTTATAACATTCTTTTGACAAAACTTATATTGTGTTTAAATTTTCATTGCATTTGAAAATTTGACTTGTTCCAAATTATAAAAATAATGAACGAATTATTTATTAATCTGTTACCTTAAATCCAGGTAATTTTATGGGTATTTTACTGATTAATGCTCCTGTTTTAGCACTATAAATTATAATGCAATCTCTATTCCCCTTATCAGCTGCTGGTACCGCCAAAAAAGCATCGTCTGATGTTATCACAACTTGTCGGAAAGGTGTACCAGTATTACTTCTTACAGGATATTCCAAAGAGAATATTGTTCTGCCATCTAATATACATGTAAAATATATTTCTCCACTTTTCTTTTAGAATATTTATGATATGAAAGCATCAATTTTCTCCCTACCAGGAATACTTCTCATAATAAGGGTGGCCGTAGTTCGTACGTTTTCCACTCCCGGAGGATTGTTAGGCCTCGAGATGGCTAAGAACTTTGACGAATTTTCTATCAATGTTAATTGTTTAACATTTGCTTGTTCTTCCTTGAACAGCACTTGCTCTGTAATTCTGTTCCACACGAGAACATTACCTGATTCCGTCGATAGGATATATCTGAAAATAAAGTTGTCGTGCTGATTTTTTTTACATTTTTTTTACACTTATTAATTAGGTGAAATTAACTTACCTACTGTCCTGTGTAATACAAGCATGTGTAACAATTGCCCCCAACGGACTATCGGCTAGCTTTGATATTAATTTGCCTGTTTGCAGATCCCAAATACCCACGCAATCTCTAGTAACCGTGACAGCCAAGTTACCTTCTTCGGCTAAACTATTTTGCAGTAAAAAGGAATCACATACATTCTAATGGATCATAGTGGTTTACTTTGATGCTCAATTAAACGTAGAATTACCTTATCATATCTATCTGCAATTCATGTCTGTCGATGACATGAACTTGCTCGAAAATATTGTTGATGTTCCATACTTTGACACTTCTATCAATACTCGACGTTACAACGCTGTTCCAATTTCCGATGGTCAATGCCTCTAGTTGGATGATTCTTGCAAAATGCGCATCTAGTATCTTTACTAAATCAGATGTCTCGAGCGACCAAACATATAGATTTTTCCTATCAAAGATAATTTGAATCATGTTACTTTGTGTTTTCTCAATTTTTTCTATTTTTTAATCCTGATGAGAGAGAGCTGACAAGAGCAATATTACAGCACACACCTTACACCCGCAACAGCGTAATTCTTAGTGCCGCTGACCATGACAGAATTCGAGCACATCATTCGCGTATTAATGTTCCTCACTCCGTTCGGCAGCATTAATACATGCGCATCGCTTTTGCTTTCCAAGAACCATACGATAAACCCATTTCCAGTTGTAGCTAATAACATTTCCTCCTCTCTGTCCAACTTCAGTTGCAGTAAGTACTCTACATCGTCATTGTACGCTCGTGGCATATCGAAAACCTTTTCCCAGTAAGATGAGGTCTCGTCACTATTGTATTTCACGACTCTGTAATCGTCCTTGCTTGTACACGCGTACAAAATATTTTTGTCCTTCGTCATAACCATGGCACTGAAATAGTTTATTGCTATTATCTCTTTCTTTCCTTGAATATGCTTCAATTCTATCTTTCTACCTGTGAAATTCGAATGGATCCAATGATGTTTTCTTCATATAAGTATGCAAGAGCATACGCGTGTCGTCAAGACTCCCCGACCAGAATATGATTCTGTAGAGATCCAAATTCGTATACTCCACGTCTATAGGAGAATAGAATATAGGAGAATAGAAATGAGGAATACACAAGTAAAAGTATTCACGTAGAACGCGAAATATTTTTTTTTTTTTACCTAAAATTGGCCATTTATTGGAATCTTCGGGATTGCTATAAGTATTGAGCAAATTTCCTCGCAAATCGAATCTGCACCATCCTAATTTCCCGTAAATAAAAGCATATTGATTCATCAAGTGCACGCCATATACCTCATCCTCGTTTGGTAAAGGATTATCAATGACGACAAATTCACTTGTCAAAGTATTCAGAACGACAGTCTATGGGAAATTATGCATCGTGAGGTATTCTTCAACTAATTTAATATTTTTTTAGTGAAATATTCGAAATATTCATGATTTTTAAGTAAATGCAAGATTTTTTAAACTTTATAAGCTTCAAGAAATATGAGTCTTATTTTTTATTTAATTTGAAATCAGAAGTGTTTTATTTCTTTCCTCAACAATTGGTTTCTTAGAGTTAATATATATTAGCTTATTTTACCTGATAATTAGTTGTAAAAGCTGCAGCATATCTGTTATCGGGGCTTAAGACCAATCGTTGCATTATACCTTCCACGCCAGGATTAACATCCCTTGTCATATCGCTAGTACTCAAATCCCAGGTGATAAATTTATTGGATATCGATACTATGTATCGATAATCTGATGTTAAGCAAAATCCGAATACTGCAAACTGATGGCCTTCCAACGAATACTAGAAAGCAGCATCATAATCGAAAAATATTTCATGATGAAGTAAAACATCTATAATTTTATGCACACGTACATACATAGAATCCGAACAATAAATCGCTTTAAAAAGAAATTCTCTGATTGAGAAGAAACATTATTAAATAAATATAATATAATTTACTTTTAACGGTCCACCAGGTGTATGCAGACAGTGATAGAGAGGAAGTAGAGCACAGTTCTTAACGCCGTCTTGATCACATGCTCGAAGTAACATTCTCACATTAACATTTGCGCCAATTTCCGGCAACAATCGACCAATTAATTGAGGCGCAAGCATATCTGGATGATTTCCCAAAATCGCACCACCTAATCTCAGAGCATCAGCGACCAACATTAGTTCTCTGAAAAGATACTCTGGATTATATTAGAAAAACATCAGAAACAAAGATAGCATACAAAAAACAAGTAATTTATATGATATTTAAAAGAATACAAATTTCTAAAAGATTGATATGTCTGAAACAAGAATATTTGAGAAAATTAGAAATATTTTCTCTCACAAACTTTTTTTGCTATCTTACCTCACTAAACTTTGATCGTCAATAAAATTACAGGCATCTTCGAAATCAGAAAGTACAGCTTGCAAGGGGCAAGAGCTGAGCTTAGCGTGCAACCATTCATAATTGAACAAAACATTCTGGAAAAGATCTTTGAAGCGCCGTGCCCTTACTAAATGAAACGGTAATTCGCCAAACTATAATCATGAAAAAAAATTACATGTCTTTGTAGCATTTGTATTTAGCATATTCTTTGAAGTACCTTCCGTAAGTTGTATCTCGAAATAGTCCCTTCCTTTGAGTAAAACGCTAGTGGTTGTTCCGGTACTTTCCTGTCGGCTACACCTTCTTTGTCTGTTAAATTAAATCTAGAAATCATAATGTAAAGTTATTATTATTTAATGTCTTGTTAATCATGAAATTTTCATTGTATTTACCGATGTCTCTGTATCTCGGTATATTTGAAAGGTTTTGGTTTACCGCCTCCCCAAATTCCCAGATAGTAATCCGCAATCATCGAATGAAAATACATCGCCATATTCATATTTTTGAAGTAACGTTCCTTGGCCGTGTCCCTGAATTGCCTGTGATACCAATTCAGGACACTTACACCGTCCGCCTCTCTTTCGCTTAGATAATTGGGCAAATCGTTTCTTATTCTGGTCCACAGTAGAGGTGGAATACGTCTCACCGGTGGCAAATGATATTGATAGACATCATCCAAGACTTTGTCATCCAAGGAAATTAGATCCTCGAGTTCAGATTCTGATAAACCCGACTTAGCGGCCGTAATATAGGCCAAGGCATGGAAGACCAGAATCTTGCCGTGTTGCTTCTCAATTCTTTCGAACAGCATCATTATACTGTCCATCACTGTACTGGCTAAGTGTGTGTCTGCTGGTTTTGTGTAACTACGCCACCTGCAAATCTCTGCAAACACGAGTTTTACGAAAATCGGCAAGGAACACTTTGATATAGCGTTCGCTACTAAACGCCATTGATAATTATTTAGATCTCTCCTGGCTGTTTTCATCCACATTCTGAAAAAGTTATAATAATAAACAAGATGTTTAAAAAATATAAAGGAGTTTGAAGAAGTTAAGGATATATTTTTTTAATTAATTTGATGTCTTCTTTATTAACAATATAATTGTGATAATGAATTTCTTCACCTTATTACATCCATAGCCAGATCTTCACCCAAGGCAGTTACTTCAATGAAACTTTCTTCAGTATCTATCATTCTGCGTAGTAACTGATAATCTCTGGAAATCACTGGATTTGATTCTTCTGCTGCGCATGATAAAATCATCTGAAATATTTATATATTTGATAATGAAATATACATATATGTTATGCTAGAAGAGCTTCTTTCGTATATAAAAACATCCAGTGTCACATTGCATTGGATCTTCTACTTCCAAACAGTATGATTTATTAGAAGTTTCTATCAGCTTGTCACACAATAATTATATTCACGTTTACCTTGCAATTTGATGGTAATCTCGTGGGCAACCATGACAATTTATTGCCCTGTACACCTGTTAATTGATCAACACTATCCAAAAACAACAGAATGGGTTGTTCGGTGGTAGCTAAAGTCAACAAATATTTAAAGTAAGCTGTAAGCGGTACCAGATCATCAGGAATCTCTTCAAACGATAATCCATAATTGTAGGAGATCTGAAAAGAGTGATAGAATTGTTTCTCAATGTTGTCATTTAAAAAAAAATTGTAGAATGAAGAATTGTCATGTAGAAACGAAGAATTTAAACAACATACAAAACACTCACTTGTTGACAGATTGAAATCAATGTGGGAGTAAGTGCACTGCTATCGGGGGTAGTGCCAAGGAAACGAATTATACTGATTGGCTTTCTGTCGCTGAGCCAGATACTACTTGTCAAACCAGCACTTTTCGCTAACAAAGAAGTCTTGCCGCATCCACCTTCTCCATACAATACTAATGGCTTATCGCTGTTGCCTAACATGTGATTTTTTATTCTTTCTAAAGTATCTTCACGTCCATAAAATACCTGTAACAAGTAGATACTGAATGATCCACAAAAAATCAGAATCAAAAACAATATATAAGAACTTAAAAATTTAAATGCATGAAAAATATCTCTTTTATTAATAATTTTTTTAAATAATCTTAATGAAGACAATCATATTTTTTCGCCCCAAAAAAGAGCAATTTTTTTCATTTTTTTTTTTCTCTTTAATTTTGTTTTTTAATTTTATGTAACAGATAACTTTTAAGAAAAGATCGTTTCTTACATTAATTTAATATTTGACATTTATTAGTTACATTAAATCTTTTGTAAACTCTTACCTTTACAGAATTATTGCAAGCATGTAGGTGTTGCAAAATTTCAGTTATTATTTGTCCTTGTGCAGAACTGTCTTCTTTTCTCATGGCACGATCTACGAGCTTCACTATGTTTCTGTAGAAGTGAGTTATAAAATGCTGAAGATACTCACTATGAGTCTCAGGATCTAAACCTTCTCTTCCAATCCATTCCACCGTATATCTATATAACGTTCTCCATATAATTGAAGTATTTGTTAATGGAATTGTTTATATTTTGTATATTACCTCTGTAAATTTGTACTCTCGATTTTATTCGGTAATCGCTCATCTCTGAGGTCAGCCAATAATTTAGAGGCTTCATTGTCCAAACTTCTATTAGCTATATCCAAGAACAAATTTGCCTTCCTCAGATTTTGAAGATTAATGTTATTTATATATCGTACATACGCCAGGCAATGGTTTTTCGTATTTTTAACATTTAGCACACCATTAATTACTTCCCGTTCGGTCACTGTTTGAAAATTAATTTTTTTTATGATTCCATTACAATAAAAAATATCTCGGCCTAATATCATTCTAATATCCCAATAATAATTTTATTGTGAAATAGAAAATTGATTTTCATATTATATTTGAAATGTAATATGTTAGTATTTCAAAAATTATGTTGAAAATTGTTTCCATGAAAATTGTTATATTTTTCATTTTGACAATTGATATTAAGGAGAGTTATTTTTTTTCTCATACGTTAATTTGTACGAGGTCTGTAAATAAAGTAATGAGACTTTTTCGAGATGAACTTTTATTTATAATTTAACTATAATTTAACTATAATTTAACTCTGTCTCCTTCAAAATAATTCCCTTGGGAAGCCACGCAGTGCCTGAGACATTGTTTCCAGTCTTTATAGCAGTGCTGGAACTCAGAAACCCGAATGGTCTTCAACTGGTCGATTACAGCCGCTTTTACGTTTTCGGTCCTATCAAAGTGATGTCCTTTAAGATGAGTTTTCAATCTCAGGAAGAGAAAGAAGTCACAGGGACTCAGGTCAGGCGAATACAGGGGCAGGGGGACAAATGTTTTTCTGTGCTTTAGATTATGGAATTTTTGGCTCAGGCGCTGTGTGACTTCCCAAGGGAATTATTTTGAAGGAGACAGAGTTAAATTATAGTTAAATTATAAATAAAAGTTCACACACACACATACACACACACACACATCTCGGAAAAGTCTCATTACTTTATTTACAGACCTCGTATGTATTAGATCTATTTTACATACCAGACATGAAATAATTGTGCATCGTATCCTTGTCAAACTTTCCAGTATTATACAAAGATTGCGCGCCTTTTCTGAATAACTTTTGCATTTTGCACATAGTATCCCACCAGATCGCTTGATCTTCTTGTTGCAACTTAGGTATTCTCTTGAAGATATACAAATTAACAAAAATATATAAACGTAAAAAGGATAATTAGATAGATAAGAATAATTAATCTGATACATGTTAGGCGAACATGATTATTGTAATGATAATTGAAAGTTGTTTACTTTATTGTTAAAGTTTTTAAGAATAGATGAAATCGGTTGTAATATGCTCGTAGGTGGCACAGCATTGCTATCCTTCTTGTACCATCTATCCAGAACACTAACGTCCATCCCTTGACTATCCAATTCTGTTCTCAACATTTCCAATTCCGAACTAAGAACATAAGTCGGTATAGGACGGTATCCATATTTTTGTCCAAGGAATACCTGTGCAAGAAAATATATATTTAATTATATTTGTTTCTTGCAAGAATCCTAAGTTTAAAATATTTAGATATTTAGATATTTAATTCTTCATTCTTTAATTTTATTATGATTCTGAAATTATATAGCATATTAAAGTCTATTCCATGATTGTCGAGATATAAATTTATCGAACACTTTTAAAATTTTTGACAAATCAAACAAATTATCACTTAAGGGCAATACTTTATTTACTTACAACAAAATTAGGTCCCATAGACAATCTCTGACAGTTTTCTATTTCTCTCATGCACAGCTCTGTAGTCATGTGATCGTCAGTGGCTTCATCACGTACACCCCATCTCATATCAACTACCTGTGGAAGAAAATTTAACCATCATGTAATATAAATTTTGATTTCTCTATTTTAATAATATAACATTTTAATTTATATTAACAGTGAAGTATATGAGAAGAATTATTTATAATTATTTAAACAAAACAATAATTTATGCAAACGCAGCTATCATTAATTAGTCATATGTAACAAATTGTATAACATATGGTCTCAATACTCAGTTGTTAAGTTGTAGCTATGTTTCTATCAAGGATCAACATCAAAAGACTTAATTATATATGTAACCGGTACCTGGTACTGTGAAAATCAATTTTCTTGTGGGGATACATGACTCATGTTTTACTATATACACATTAGTCGGTTAAGCATTTATCTATGTGTTACATTATCTTTAAAATCTTACCTGAAATTCTAAACCGTGTTTTTCCCTACAATAGTCCTTGATTTTAGGATAACATTGAGCCATTAAAGTATTTCTTTCCATTGTTGTGTCTAAAATATATGTATTATTATTTTATAATTTGACGCCTATTTTATTATGTTTTTTTTATATCGTTGATATTAAATTAAATTTTTTAATATTTTTATTTTACTGTTTCTTATCGTGATTATTAATAATTTACCAGTAAAGGTCGAACTTGTAAATATCCGCACAATTTTCGAACTAACGGGTGGTAAGGACTTTAAAGATCCTGAGAAAATTGAATCGATTGTCGTTTCGTCCATTTTTTGTTTTTTAATACACCTTTTTTCTCTTTAATTCTCAGTTGAAAATTTAAAGCAGTCGAGAGCTCGCATCTTATCACTTGCAACAATATCAATAAACTGAGACCAGAGCGTTGTCAATGTCTTATATATCTATAATAAGAATATAGTATCTTGAGCTATACAGAGGCAGTAACACATTTTGTTTGAAAATGTTTTATTTTGTAGAATTCTCTCTTATATTATTTATCTGCCATAATTTATACGATATTATTATACATAATTACATCCCTTGAAAATTATACAAAAAATATTTTCTTTTTACAATTATATGTAATACTGTATGTGTGAATATGAAAGGTTTTTAGCAAGATGGTTGCTAAGGCTTGTTTATACAGTATAACGAATTCATTGATTTTAAAACACATATATATTTCTTTAGATAATTTAGCATTTGTATAAAAAATATACAATATGTGCTACATTAGATAAATTATTAAACACTTAAAAATTAATACATTTGATAGTAAAATGTACATATTATTTATGATTTCTAAGTCTTAGATATCTAAGAATTAAAAGAATATGAAGATAAACGTTATAGCAATTCATGTCTTAACTTTAAGTGTTACTGTACATTTCTGTATGTATTATATATATGTATGATTTCTTCGTATACAGATTTTCTATATATAATGAACTGTTTATAGTGCTTACCAAGGATCTATCATAATATTCAAAATGGCATCTGATCCAGTGACACAAATGAACAAATATCGTTCATACGTGACTATGCTGGGTGATCCAGTTTCAAAGGACGAGCTAAAACTGAAGGCAGCCCAAGAATTATCAGAAAATTTTGAGGTACTGAAACAAGCCATCTTATTAAAAATTATCTAGTCATAATATTTTTTAATTAATCTTTGTTGAGGAAAGTATAATACATATTTAAAAATTAATTTATGCAGATCATTATGTGTTCGACGCAATATCCGGCATTTCTCGATCATATGATGAAAATCTTTCTAAAGATATTGCAAGAAGGAGAGCCACATTTCATATCGGAATACAATATTCAACAAGTCAGAAAGTTGATTCTAGAAATGATACACAGATTACCGAGTAATGAATACTTACGTCCATATGTCAGGCAAATCTTGACTCTCATGTCCAAATTGTTAGAAACAGATAATGAAGAAAATGTTTTAGTATGTTTACGTATCATTATTGAACTTCATAAACAATATAAGCCGACATTTAATCCAGAAGTGAGTAATGTCTTTTTTCTTTTATTCGTAATTCAAATCTCTAAAATAATAATTTCAACGTTTTTTTTTTCTTTTGTTAGATACAATATTTTTTGCAATTTGTTAAGTCTGTGTATAGTGAATTACCAAAGAATTTATCAAAAATATTTGAACCACGTCCTGCTCTACGAGTGAAAGATTTGTCAGAGATCAACATAGAAGCTCTTTTGAAAGAAACTTTCACAATTACAGCGATCCAAAGTGAAAAGAAAGCAGCCGATGGTACTATCGTGACAGTAAGTATATTCTATTTATTTTAATAAGATTTTATATAAAGAATAATTACGTAACATTTATAGAAATGAAAAAAAGTAAAAATTAAAATATATTATACTGTTTTCAGTACAATTTGATCCCGAAAGCAGTGTTATCCCTCAAAGTGCTTCAAGAATTGCCGATAATTGTGGTGTTAATGAATCAATTATATAAACAGAATGTGCATCAGGACGTATCGGATTTTGTCCCAATCGTGATAACAACTATATCGCTTCAGCCGAGTCCTCAACATCGAGCATCTCCTGGATTTAATAAGGAGGTTTTTGTAGATTTCATGGGTGCTCAAGTTAAGACATTATCGTTTCTTGCATATGTCATAAGAGTGTATCAGGACGTAATATCTCAAAATAGCTCGATGTTGGTCAAAGGCATTCTAGGTTTGTTTACTCTCTGTCCCATGGAAGTAGCGCACTTGCGCAAAGAATTAGTGATCGCATCTCGTCATATCCTAGCAACAGAGTTACGAAATCAATTTATCCCGCACATGGAAATCTTCTTCAACGAAGATATTTTCATCGGTCATGGTTGGACGGCACATGAGGCTCTAAGACCATTAGCTTATTCTACGCTTGCTGATTTAGTTCATCATGTTAGATTACAATTACCTCTCAGTGATGTGTCTAGAGCAGTACATCTGTACGGCAAGAATCTTCTTGATCAGACTTTGCCTACGGCAGTTCAAATGGTATCTTGCAAACTATTGATGAATCTAGTAGACACAGTTAGACAGAGATCAGATGCAGAAAACAGTACTCAAGGACGAGAATTATTAATGCGTATACTGTTGGTATTTGTTTTGAAATTTAAGACCATTGCTAAGATCTACATTCCGATTCTACGAAATAAAGCGAAACAGTTACGGCCTGCTCCAGTAGATAATACAGCTGAGGATGCAGCAAAACCATGTATCGATGTGAACGAAGAAAAAGAGCCACCAAAATCAAAGTTTGGTTTTCCGACTTCACAGGCGATGAGTTATAATGTAGCGGACTATAGAAATCTCGTGAAAAGTCTCGTGCATGGTGCCAAAGCTATAACATCTAATTGCATCAGTAGAACGAGTGACGTAACTCATCAGCCCAATCAACTTCAACCGAAAGAGACTTTGATTTACATACAGCTCGTTAAATGGGCATTACCAGCTTTAGATATCTACACGATAGGTCCACCCGTAATCGGTCCAGCTGTACAACCAGGTAGACCGGGACAATCTCAAATACGAACAAGAGAGGAAAAAGAGGTGTTGGAGCTCTTCGGTAACGTGTTCACGCAAATGAGTCCTCAAACATTTCAAGAGATATTTTCTATGACTATAGACTACATAGTCGAGAGAATCTTCAAGAATTGTGCTTTGCAAATAATCGGAAGTGCCTTTTTATCCAGTCATACAATCTCATCGACCTTTGCTACTATATTGGTGGAATATTTATTAGAGCGAATGAGCGATATGGGTTCCAATGTGGAACGTAGTAACTTGTACTTAAGATTGTTTAAACTCGTTTTTGGGAGTGTTTCGCTTTTTCCATCCGAAAACGAGCAAATGCTACGACCACACTTAAATTTAATCGTTAATCGCGCTATGGAACTCGCCATGTCGGCAAAAGAACCATACAATTATTTTTTATTGTTGCGCGCATTATTTAGATCTATTGGCGGCGGATCTCACGATTTATTATATCAAGAATTTTTACCATTACTTCCTAATATGTTAGAAGGACTAAACAGATTGCAATCTGGTCTACACCGACAGCATATGAAAGATCTCTTTGTAGAATTATGTTTAACTGTACCAGTGCGTCTCAGTTCGCTTCTCCCATATCTTCCGATGTTAATGGACCCTCTTGTTTCGGCTCTCAATGGAAGTTATTGTTTGGTAAGCCAAGGTCTTCGTACTCTGGAGCTCTGTGTCGATAATTTACAGCCTGATTTTTTATATGAGCACATACAACCAATCCGTGCGGAATTGATGCAAGCTTTATGGAGAACGTTGCAAAATTCTACCGATCAAGCTCACGTAGCCTTTCGAGTTCTTGGAAAATTTGGCGGTGGAAATCGGAGAATGATGATCGAGCCTCAGAAGTTAGAATATAATGATCGCGAAACTAGTTCGCCTAACGTGATAGTTTACTTCGAGGGAGCTTCTCAACCCATCGATTTCCCGATGGAAAAAGTGATCGAAGCTGCATATAATGCATTGAAATCCAGTACAGATCTGTTTTACCGAAAACAATCCTGGGAAGTCATATACTGCTATTTAGCAGCATCTTTAAGATTGGACGACACTGCTCATCTATGGCACAAATTGTTTGCGCATCCAAGTTTTAAAGAGGGCGAAATACCGCATCAACAGGAGCCTTATTATAAGTGCCCCGATATCGTAGCGCGAAACGTTCAACAAACTGCGCTGACCGGTATGTTTATCGCTGCGGAGATCAAGGATTTACGACCGTCAGTACTCGGTACTGTCGTTTCTGTTGTAAGACACTACACCATGATTGCCATAGCGCAACAAGCAGGTCTCTTCAATTGGACGGAACGAGAAGTTCGTAAAGATACGCAAGGACAGGACCCACTTGTGCTAATCGACGCTCTTGCTGTTATAATGGCTCACGATGAGAAAGAATTATATAAAGCGGGATATCTGACACTTGTGTTAATATTAGAAACGGCGACGAATATTCTAGGTTCCAAAGAACGGGCCTGCCAATTGCCTCTCATGGAATATCTGGCAGAGAAAATGTGCTCGTTGTGTTACGAGCGCGCCTGGTATGCCAAATTTGGCGGTTGCATAGCGATCAAATTTCTGTTTGAGCGAATGGCCACTAAATGGGTTCTTAATCATTTATTTGTTTTTCTCAAGGCTCTCGTATTCGTGATGATGGATCTAACCGATGAGGTTTCTAATGGTGCTATTGACATGGCAAAGGACAATTTGGAAAAGATGCTGCGAGTTTGTGTTAATCCTGGTATTCAAGAAGGCAACGCAGAATTAATAGAAGCACAAAATAAGAGCTTATATGAAGTCACCCGCGAGTTAGTCAAACAGGTAACGTCACCGCACACGATTGTCCGAGAACAAGCCATGGCCTCGTTGCGTCAGTTGGCCGAAATACAAAATAAATCGGTAACAGAAGTAATGGAACCACACAAGGAAGTTTTAGCAGATATGATGCCGCCCAAGAAGCATCTTTTAAAACATCAACCTGCTAATGCACAAATTGGCTTAATGGATGGTAATACATTTTGTACTACTTTGAATCCACGTCTTTTCACCATCGATTTGAGTATATTTGAGCACAAGGTGTTTTTTAATGAACTGTTAAATCTTTGCGAATCAGATGAAGCTAATTTCAGTAAATTAGCTTGTTACAAATCAATTTCAAATCTGATGCCCCTGCGGAAATCTGCATTGCGAGCGCTCGCGGCCTGTCATTACATCGTTGGTTGTCGGGAGAGAATATTCTCTGTTCTTTATAAAACTCTAGAAAAATCCAACGCCGAACTGCAGGAGGCGGCTTATGAATGTATGAAAATGTTCATTGCCGGTTTTCAGATCGATATGGAATCAGTTCACGCAATAATGCGACCAATGCTGTTAACACTAGGTGATCACAGGAATCTCAGCTTAAATTGTGTTAGAAGATTATTATATTTAACGCAACTGTTTCCGAGTACCTTTAGCGTTACCTTATGTGAACAACTATTGGCACATTTGAAGAAATTGCTGGAAAATCTGATTCAATCCCAGAAGAATACGTCAAAACCCACGGGTATATCAAAATCCGGAGAAAACGAGCAAAAGATCACCACAATTATAGGAATATTTCATGAAGTCCCAACGGCATCTCCCAAATTCATCGACGTGCTTTGTAAACTTGTGCTGCAAACTGAGAAATCATTACTAGTCGAGGTATCCAGTCCTTTCAGGGTACCTTTGATGAAATTCCTTTTACGTTATCCGACAGAAACGTTAAATCTGTTCTTACATGATAACAATATCAAGGACCAACAGTGGAGCAGGTATCTGGAATATCTTATTAGACACAAGGATGCTAAACCGTTTCGTGATATTTTACACAACAGTACATCGCGACTCGTCACAATGTTACTCGCACATTCGCAAACGAATTCTAACTTGACTCACATGGAAAAAAGCGAATTGCAATATCGAGCGATTAAAATCATCGGCATACTTATCAAATTCGACGAACAGTGGCTATCTACACAGAATCAATTGGTGGGAGCATTAAAACAGATTTGGTGCAATGACGATTATCAGGCATTACACAAGAAAGTCGAGAGCGTCGAATACTGTCACTGGAAGGAGCCGAAGCATATCGTTAAAATTTTATTGCATTATTTCCGACATCAACCAAATGATATTGATTTGCTATTCCAATTGCTACGAGCCACTTGCACCCGTTTCGTACCTGATTTTCAATTTCTCAGAGATTTTCTAGAAAATACGGTAGCACAAGAATATACAGTCGAATGGAAGCGAAGTGCTTTCTTCCGTTTCGTTGAACACTTCCCTACGAATAATATGTCGCAAGAATTGAAAGCCAATGTTTTGCAGCTGATCATTATTCCGTGTTTTGCGATAAGCTTTGAAAGAGGCGAGGGCACTAAACTAGTCGGAGGTGCACCTATGCCTTATCAAGACAATCCGGAAAATGTAGTATCGGTATTTATCAGCAAGATCATCGATCCAGACAATCCGTTCGGTTCTGCTGATTGTGTCCGCATTTCTTTATTGCAATTCTCTTGTCTTTTAGTAGAGCAAGCATCGCAACACATTCACGATGTGACCAATAAGAGGCAAGGTAATAAGTTACGTCGTTTGATGACATTTGCCTGGCCTTGCTTGTTAGGCAAGAATTGCGTAGATCCGACAACTAGATATCATGGTCATCTTCTTCTTAGTCACATAATAGCTAAATTTGCTATCCATAAGCGCATAGTCTTGCAAGTGTTTCATAGTTTATTGAAAGCGCATGCCGTTGACGCGCGTAACGTTGTGCGACAGGCGCTAGAAATATTAACACCAGCAATGCCTGTGCGGATGGAGGACGGTAATACTATGTTGACACACTGGACGAAGAAGATTATCGTGGAAGAAGGGCACTCCATGCAACAATTATTCCATATTTTACAGTTAGTCGTGAGACATTATAAAGTTTATTATCCAGTCAGGCATCATTTGGTTCAACATATAGTGAATTCGATTCAACGTATGGGATTCAGTCCCACTGCCACGATCGAACATAGGAGATTAGCCGTTGAGCTTGCAGAGGTTATTATAAAATGGGAATTGTATAGAATCAAGGAAGAAGCTGAGGCTGCGGAATCAAATAGTAATAAAGTGATCGTGCAATCATCGGGTTTAAATAAACGGCCGATCACCGAAGACCCGTCAGGAAAGCGCATGAGCTCTCAGACAACACCATCCGGTAACAGTCCTGTACCTCTCATTTTACCCAGAATGGAACCAGGATCCGTAAAACCTATCGAGAGGGCTCATGCTGACGCGGTTCTAAATTTTCTGCTTCGCTTGGCGTGTCAAGTAAACGATGTAACGACGATTCATGGTAATCCAGGCGAGCAACTTTCTAGACGCTGCGTTTCTCTATTAAAAATGGCTCTGAAACCTGATGTATGGGTCGCCGAACAATGCGATCTCAAACTAGCTTGGCTCGATAAGGTTCTCGCTAGTGTAGACAGCAATCAACCCAACTATGGTAATATCAGCACAGCATTGGAAGTACTGACATTTTTGTTAGGTGTGATGAAGCGTGACCAAATACTTGCAAGCTTTAAACCATTGCAACGCGGGATAGGTGCTTGCATTGCCAACAACAATACTAAAATCATACGTTTGGTGCATGGCTTGCTTTCACGACTGATGACAATTTTTCCGGCTGAATCGACTTCCTCGAACGTATCTTCTAAATACGAGGAGTTGGACACACTATATTCAACCGTAGGTAGATTTATAACGGAAGGACTGGCCACTTATGAAAAGACTCCGACAGCCGTACCTAGTTCGCTATTTGGCACGCTCATGATGCTTAAAGCTGCCTGCACAAATAATCCTAATTACATTGATCGAATGATAACGCCGTTTATGAAAGTATTACACAGAATGACCAAGGAGCACTTACATACACAGCAAAATGAAGCCAATCCCGTAACAAGCGAATTACTGATTCTCAGTCTTGATTTAGTGAAAAATCGAGTGGGAGTAATGGGCGTCGATATGCGTAAGTCGTTTATAGGCACAATTCTAGTCGGTTTGATTGAAAAGACGCAAGACGCCAAGGTAATGAAAGCTATTACGAAGATATTGGAGGAATGGATGAAAAATAAGACCACCATTGCGATCAATCAGGCGCCCAGTTTACGCGAAAAATCTATATTATTGATAAAAATGATGCAGTATGTCGAGAAATGCTTTCCCGAAGATTCAGAATTGAATAAACAGTTCTTGGAACTAATTAATTATGTTTATCGCGATGAGAGCTTGAAATTAACAGAATTAACGTCAAAATTGGAATCGGCCTTTCTGGCCGGTCTACGCTGCGGGCAACCACAAGTAAGGGCGAAATTCTTCGAGGTGTTTGATGGATCGATGAAGAAACTTTTACCTGATCGTATCTTATACATCATCGTCAGCCAGAACTGGGAAAATATAGGACCCCATTATTGGATCAAACAATGCATCGAGCTGCTACTGGCCACTGTCAATCCGGCGACTCAAGTACAAATGACCAATGAGGACCTTTTGCTGCCCAGCATTACGTCCATCATGCACGGAGGTATGGAAAAAGATAGCGAGGAACAAACGCTCTTTGTCTGTCAGCTCGATCAGGCTGGTGAAGAATCGCAAGACATTGAAATGACCGACAAAGACATCAAAGAAATATTCCTTGAAATGGATGCTTGGATGTCTAATTTGTCCGTCTCGGAATCTGCGAATAGTGCCACTGCTGCCGCCGAGGAAATCACCGAAAAACTCGATCTTTTAGAAATGATTACCAAGCAAATACGTTTTATGGAGAATGCAAAGAAGATTAGAACGGAACAGTTGCTGCTGGCGACCGCGCAGCTATGTCACATGGACACGAGTCTAGCGGAACGCGTTTGGTTAGACATGTTTCCACGAATATGGAATATCCTGGATGAGGTTTATCTTAAAGCCGTGATGGCGGAGGTACCGCCGTTTGTCGCTAGCGGAGCGCATGTCATTCAAAAGGACTGCCATCCGAGTGCGCTCGGCACCTTCTTAGAGGCACTAGCGCACTGCGATCCACCAGTGGCTATAGCACCACCGGTAATGAAATATCTAGGCAAATCGCACAATGTTTGGCACCGAATAACATTGAGTTTAGAGCAGATGGCCTCCGAAATGGCAACAGATATTAATTTAGTCGGTAATCAAATGAAGATCAAATGCGAACCCGATTCGTGTCGCGTACCCGACGAAATCGAACAGACCGAATATCTTGGCCCTTATTATGAAGTAGTAGATATGCTTTCGTTAATGTATTCGTTGCTCTGCGAAGAAGATATGTGGTCGGGTCTTTGGCAAAAGAGACCAGCGCACTATAAGGAAACCCTGCATGCAATTGCGCTGGAACAACAAGGATTCTTCGAACAGGCTCAAGGAGCATACGAAGTGTGCATGAGCAAATACCGGCAGGACTTTGCGACAGGCTCTGCACCCTATCTTCTCAATCAGGAGGTACTTCTCTGGGAAAGTCATTGGGAACGCACCGCGAAAGAATTGAATCAGTGGGAGATTTTGTTAGAATTGGGTAGTAACGGTTATAAGAATCCCTTCCTCGTTCTAGAGAGTGCATGGCGTATTCCCAATTGGCCCGTAATGAAGGAGATTCTTACGCAAGTGGAGCATAATTGCCCAAAAGAAATGTCCTGGAAGGTATAAACCGATCTAACAATCTTTTTATTTATAAAAAATATATAAATGTTTCATTTCTTTTTATTGATTTCTATACTCTTAGCTCTGTAATACACTTTTTACACTTATGAATGTATTTTTTAATACTAAAAGAAAATACTTCGACAAATTATATATTTTAATTTTTGTAGATTAATTTGTATCGTGGATTCTTAACTTTATGCAACAGCGAGGAACAGCATCTTAGTATTGTGGAGCGTTATGTTGAATCAGCATCAAATTCCTGTATGCGCGAATGGCGTCGACTTCCTCACATTGTTAGCCATGTCCATCAACCGCTGCTGCAAGCGGCTCAACAAATAATGGAACTCCAGGAAGCGATGCAAATCCATCAAGGACTTTTACATGGCAGGAATACTTCGCTACACGATATGAAAGCCATTGTTAAGACTTGGCGAAATCGATTACCTGTGATAGCTGATGATCTCAGTCACTGGTCAGATATTTTTACATGGCGACAACATCATTACACCTTTATTTCCAATCACTATGATACTCAACAGGATCAAACTACCAATCATTCATTACTTGGCGTGCACGCCTCTATGCAAGCTATTATTCACTTTGGTAAAATTGCAAGAAAACAAAATCTTTATGGCGTATGTTTGGATTCATTGGCAAAGATCTATTCAACGCCTACAAGTGTACCTATGATAGATTGTTTCCAAAAAATTCGACAACAGGTGAAATGTTATCTGCAGATGGCCACCATGGGTGGACAGACCGAGTTGCAAGAGGGTTTAGATATGCTCGAATCGACGAATATGAGCTTCTTTACTAAAGAAATGATTGCAGAATTGTGTGCATGGAAAGGTTTACTGCAGTCACAACTCGGCCGCTCAGATGAGGCTAACAAAAACTTTTCCGCGGCAGTTCAATTGCATGACACTCTAGTCAAAGCATGGTCCTTATGGGGCGATTATCTCGAACATATTTTCATACGTGACGCACGTCAAATAAGCATTGGTATAAGTGCACTTGTTTGCTATCTGCATGCTTGCCGTCATCAAAATGAATCTAAATCCAGGAAGTATATTGCTAAAATTCTTTGGCTACTCACATATGATGACGACAAATCGTCTTTAATGGAGACCGTAGATAAGTATGCTGTTGGTGTGCCAGCAATACAATGGTTACCTTGGGTACCGCAACTAATGATGTATTTGGTGCGTCACGAGGATAATATAATATTAAATTTGCTAAGTCAAGTAGGTCGCATGTTTCCGCAAGCGGTCTATTTTTCTATAAGGACGCTCTATTTGACACTGAAGATAGAACAGAGAGAGAGATATAAGAGTGGTGAACTGGCAGCAGGAAAGAGCCAAGATGGCGTGGAAGATCGAGGTCTTTCTGCAGGTAATGTACCACCGCAACAAGGAGTTTCTGTGGAAACAAGTCATATCACAGCACCTATGGCCCGGGCTACTCCACCCATGTGGAGATGTTCAAAGATTATGCATTTGCAAAGAGATATACATCCAACTGTTCTATCTAGTTTGGAGGGTATAGTTGATCAGGTTGGTTTTTTTTTTAAATGAATTATAGTGTAAAATATACATAAAAAAGATCATATAGTAAAAATAAGAAATAGTTTATAATGAAAATAGAGGTTTTTATTTTTATTTTATTGATTAATATTTTGATTTATATCTTTATATAAATTTTTTCTTTATTAAAGAATACATTCAAAATTTATTCAAGCATTTTGGAAAAATTTGTGTGTATATGTATGGCAGCAAATTAAATTTTTTCGTAATTAAATATAATTAACACTGGTGTAAATTTATTCTTATTAAAATATTTCAGATTTAAAAATTTCTTTCTCATACAAAAGAAACAATTTATATTTTAGATGGTATGGTTCCGTGAAACATGGTATGAAGAAGTTTTAAGACAATTGAGGCAAGGTCTCGCAAAATGTTACGCTATAGCATTCGAGAACCGTGGAGCTGTTAGTGAAGCGACAATAACTCCGCATACTCTCAACTTTGTAAAGAAACTTGTATCGACTTTTGGTATTGGAATTGGTAAATTTACATTTGCTTTCTCTATCATTATAAAACGAAGATTAGGAAAAGAAACAACTTTTCTAAAATGTATACTTTATGATTTGTAGAAAATATCTCGTCCTCGCAAAATATGAGCAATTCGTTTAGTTCGGCAGGATCAGAATCTTTGGCACGTAGAGCCGAAGCGACTGTACAAGATCCCGTTTTTCACGAGATGAAAGGTCAATTTACTAGTGACTTTGACTTTAGCGTACCTGGTGCCAGGTTACTACATAATCTCATCAGCAAATTAAAGAAGTGGATAAAGATTCTCGAAGAAAAAACGAAGCAATTGCCAAAGTAATATTTAGATTTTAATAATCTTGCATAATATATATGCATATATGCACGATTTATTGAAATAACGATTCAAATTGATATGTTTTTTCACAGGTCTTTCTTAATTGAAGAAAAATGTCGTTTCTTGAGTAATTTTAGCTTGAAAACTGCGGAAGTTGAGTTGCCTGGTGAATTTTTAATACCTAGGGTAAGAAAAATATATAAAAGTCAAATTCTACTAATTCTTTTATTCTTAATTAACAATGATATAAGTTCGCGCGAACAAACATTCTTATTCTATATATGTGCCATAAAAATATAAATTGAAATCGAAGGAAATATGGAGAATAAAATATGGAGAATTTGCTTAATCAGGATTGACTTAAAATTAGAGATTGAATATATAAATATAATAAATATAATAAATATAATATATTTGTCATTTTTTATATTCATGTTTTTGTTTATAATAATGTTTATAATAAATATATTATTGATAAACTTTAGAGATCAAACTGAAAAATTCTTACTTTGTTAATCTTTCTTAATCTTTCTAAATCTTAATTTTTTCAGCATTCACATTATTCGGTAAAGATAGCTAGATTTATGCCACGTGTCGAAGTCGTTCAACGACACAACACAGCCGCTAGGAGATTACGGATTCGAGGTCATAACGGTCGACTTTACCCTTATTTAGTAGTGAACGATGCCGGTTTAGGAGACGCCAGGCGCGAAGAACGCCTGTTACAACTACTGCGAATGTTGAATCATTATTTGACCAAACAGAAAGAAACATCGCGAAGATTCTTACACTTCACAGTACCACGGCTTGTTGCCGTTTCACCTCAAATGAGACTCGTTGAAGACAATCCGGCAGCCATTTCTCTTTTGGACATTTACAAACAAAGCTGTGCTAAGCTGGGAATGGAGCACGATGCGCCCATCGCTAGATATTATGAGAAATTAGCCGCCGTACAAGCACGAGGCACGCAAGCCAGTCATCAAGTCCTGCGAGATATTCTGAAAGAAGTGCAATCTTCAATGGTTGCGAAAACTATGCTCAAAGATTGGGCCATAAAGACATTCCCTGGCGCCACCGATTATTGGACATTTAGAAAAATGGTAAATATTAAAACACTAATGATTTAAAACTTAAATATATCACAAGTTCTTCTTTGATTAAATTTGAATTAATTTTGTATTGTATAAAGATATACGCATATTTTTTTAAATAAATCTAGAAATAAACTGTATAAATTATTTGAGTCATTATGTCTTTTATGTTATAATTCTATCGTATTTTTTAATACAATAATTTAAAAGATTTAATTTTTTGTTTTATTCATTTGATGTGATGTTTATTTTCTGTAAAAATAAAAACTTAAAGAATGCTTTCTTTTCTTTTTACAAGAATTTTTCATAATTATGAATAATGCAAAAAAAAGAGAGAAAAAAAATATATATTTGAGTTACAAAAAGAAATAAAAGAAATAATCGTATCAAAAGAATTTAGCTATCGATATAAGATGATAAATATTGTGCATTATATACATGTTTATCTCTTTATTTTCAGTTCACGTTACAATTATCTCTGACTTGCTTTGCCGAGTACGTGCTTCACTTAACGCGGCTTAATCCCGATATGATGTACGTGCATCAGGATTCCGGTCTGATAAATATTGCATATTTCAAGTTTGACATTGACGACACTTCCGGAGAGTTAGATGCGAACAGACCGGTACCCTTTCGCCTGACACCCAATATCCTCGAATTTCTTACGACTACAGGTACAGTTATATATAATCTTCTCATTGTGGTGCGATGAGAAATATCTGAATATATAAATACCGTCTTTTATATATTCAGATGCATTTTTATGTACTTGTATTTATAAAGCGAATACTTTCACTGTTTTTGTAAATTCAGTAGTATGAAAGTAATTATCAAATTAGGGCTCGAGTACGCTTTAATTCACAATTAATTTGTACAGGAATTTGCGGACCATTGACTGCCAGCGCAATTGCTACAGCGCGTTGTTTGGTTCAGCCCACGTTCCAACTGCAAGCGATACTTCGAGCGATTTTGCGAGACGAGGTGATCGCGGATCATAAACAGCAGGAGGATGCCGAGGGTACGTCACAAGCACCGACCGATTTGAAGGGCGAGCTTTTGATAACAATGGTGACCCGTGCAGTTACTGCGATCGTCACAAGACTGAATTCCCTCGCAAATTTCGATGGTATCGACAGTAAAGTCAGTACGTTAGTTGCTGCCGCCAATAGTCACGATAATCTTTGCAGAATGGATCCCTCATGGCATCCTTGGTTATAAAATCGAGTACGTCCGACCTTAAAAGAATTCGTACTGCCAATGAGTAAAAAGAAACGATTGTTGTCACTTTTGTTTTATTTTTTAATTATTTCACAATACTATCCTTCGCTTCTGAATTGAAAAGTTATTACAAAATGGGGGAAAAATAAAGATACAATTGAAGATAAAAAATATTATTTATAGTTAATATATACATATATATATGTATTATTGGATGACATGTACAGCATGATAAGACAAAACTGTAAATTGCAAATTTTATATACTTCAATAATCTCTTCTTAGCGTGTATATTTATTACATTATCCATGGATCCGTTTTTTTAGAGGTATAATATTTCAGTGTAATATAAAATCTTTTTTCCAATTTCTTTTTAGCATATTGTATAAGCTTTATATTTTAAATAATAATTTGTATAGAGATAGTAAAAATAATTATTTTGAGGGAGAGAGACGAAAAATAAATCTAATGCATATAATTTTTATTTATTATAACCATTGACATCTGAATCAAATATCAATGATTATAACTAACTTGGACATTTGAAATATATGATATTGTAAAGATTTTTCAAAAAGAATAAATGCGTTGTTTTTAAACATATTTACAGTTTCTGTAAAGATTTTCTACACATATCACATATCAAAATGGGGAAGATAAAAGTATATAAATTTGAAAGTTCTACAAGAGAAGCTTGCCAAAAAATGTATACCTAAATATAGATTTTTGACGATTTTTAAACTTAGTAAGCATTATATTACATATTAAATAGCGTTAAAATTTTAATAATAATAGAGCAATAATCATATTAATGCTTACATATTTATTTATAAAAATATAACTTATTATATTTTAAGTATAACTTGATGAATTAAATGAACTGAATATAACATAATATGAATTTCATAACAATTTTAAGTGTATATATATTACATATTATTGCATTACATTTTTGAATTATCACAATTAGAAATTTTAATAAGGATTTATTTTCTTTCCTAACTAGATATATAATTGTTTCGCATAATTTACATGCAACTAAACATTATGAATAAAAGATCTACAATAAAAATATATGATAAGTCTGTAAATGACTATTTTACATTTGATTTCACATTTTGATAGATCTTACAAATTATATAGACTTATCACATTTTTGAAGTGCTCTAACGTGTATTACAAACATTTTCTAGAAATACTCTCCATTGATATGCAAAATAGTTTATATAAATTATATAATACACACATATTATCACATACATAGACAAAGGAATTTCTCAGATGCTTAATGCAAACATATCACATAGTTGTTCTGCTATGTTAGCAATAAATAGAATTAATAAGTCCAGAAAAAATGATATATATATATATATATATATATATATATATATACACATGTATACACACACACATATATATATATATATATATATATATATATATGTTTAAATATTTATGTATGTATATATATATATATATATATATATATATATATATACATACATAAATATTTAAACATATCTATGATATTTTTCTGATTTTCTACAACTTAATCATAATAAAATCACATTTAAGAAAAAAACAAGCACCCTATCTTAGGACACAGAGCTGTATATTTATTTTGTGGGCTTTAAGTTAATATTCCGCAACATACATAAGTCTCGTGCGGTTGCCATGCGCCCGATTACGGTTTGTATATCGTATAATCGTAGTAAAATATCAGTCGTGAACAATTCGGGTAATGCTTTAAGAAGACAGGGTACCTAAAAACAAACATAAAATTATAGTTTATATTTTAAATTAATGTGTATGGATCTTTCTATATGACTAATAGGAAAACAACTATAAACCTAAAAATGTATACCACCTAAAAATGAATATACAAACTTACTAATAATAGTTTATATTTAATTAATCAATTTATTAAATTAATTATTTAGATATATATTGAGAGCTAAAGATATATAAAATTGCAATTACTATTGTTATTGTATACAAATATGTTATATGACATACCAGAGTTTGCGGCATTCCCTGCAACACGATACGAGTTCTATCTTTGCCGCATTGTACTGTAAATCGCAGGAACTGAAATATAAAATGAGTCTGTTGACACACTTCTCCGTCTCTACCAGCTAGAAAAGCGAACATGGTGAATAGATTGTTCAATGCAGTCATAAGCGGATCCCTCAGAACAACCATAGATTTTTGTCCATTATTAGAACCTTGCGACTGTGGGCTCTGTGAACCGAACATGGGAACGCTTTCACCCGTTTCATTCAGTCGCAAAAGCTTATTAGACATGCTTAATGGATCCAGTTCGTCCGCATCCAATTCACGCCGCACGCGTTTACGATTGTTGCTCCGATATGGATTCGAGTTGTTGTATTCCAAAGTAGAAAATATACAATATACGCATAATTTAGCTAGGATAGACGACTGTGGCTCTACAAGTTCATCGCTCCTACACAACAAAATTTACAAATAAATATTTTGTTTATACAATATATAAAAAATGTAAATAGAACAATAGTATGATCAACCTACTGCAACGAATTATCCAAGTATTGCGGTATTATATGATTTATGAGATCTAAAGTGCAATTTTCTATATCAAGATGGAAGATAGCAAATGCCAGATCCACAGCTTGATCCAATTCTTCTTGATATCGATATTTTAATACTTCCTTTATTATATTCGTAACGAACCATAAAGAACCACCAGTATTTAATAAGGATTCCAATGACTGTGTAGCTTGTATGTTTATCCAACCACGTTGATTTATATTCTGCCAAACGGATTCCAATTGTTCCAGTATTGGCTGCCGCGAAATAATACTGCAAATATATAAAAACTCCATGAAAATGGTTATTTCTGAAACAATAATAAGAATTTATTTTTGAAGAGCATCATAGTACCTATGGGACATAGAAAGCACCTTTGTTTTTGATTGTGTAGGCGGATGTACGTCGTATTGCATTTTCCGAATAATTTGAAACATTAAACTTGATCTGTAGAAAAGAATAGAAAAGCTTAAATCCCCATATAACATCAAAAAGATAAATATATAAATTAATATTTTTATTTAACGAAAAATACAGTAAAATAATATTTTTTCTTTGCTAATTATATAATATCCTATTTTTCTCTTATGCTAATGCACGTGCCTTTCTTTGAGATTATCCTGCATCTCGTCACCCGGTAACGGTGTCAGAAAATGCTGAACCATATTCATGGGTTTCAACAGAGCGTCCTGGTGCGTAATACTCATGTAGGCGCAAAGCCATGCTGCGGCACAGACGGGCAGACAGCATGCTGCTGTGCGCAAACCGTCCAGAGCCATTTTGACATCGCCTGCGCCTAGCACACCGCTCTCCCATGCGCAAAGCAATTCTTTTACTGCGCCCATCGCTGATTGACATGCGACATGCCATTTCAGATTACTTGATTTGAAATCAGGATCTGGCGAATTTAATTGCGTTAGCAAAGCATCCACCCGTGCCGGATCGACGTTTTGCAGCATCCTCTGTGGTGACTTTGGCTTCTTTCGTTCAGGCATACACTCGCGCACCCATTGTTCGAAAAATGAATCCCCTCCTTCTTCTAAGACAACCTAGGAATCAGTTTACATGTATCTTACACAATATCTATGGAATATATTCGAATATATAAAATTATAAAACCTTTCTAGATAAAATTCGATTGGGAAGGAAACTTACATCAGAACCATACGTTTGCACTATGGAGCACAACATAAGAAACGATACATCGAATGACATTGCTCTTTGCTTTGCTGCTGTTTTGCCAGTCACAGACTCGTTGATCTGTTTACTGCATTCATTGAGTTTGATAAGTTTGTTAACGAAAGTCTTCAGTTTTCCTTCTACAGTTGCCACAGCCAGCATTAATTCAAAACTGTTCAAAACATGATATAACATACTCAATAAAGAGCTCTTTGTGTAATCAGCATTCAAAGTCTTCAAGATGCCGGCTAATGTCGGTTCTGCACATATAATAACTTTTGGGATGGATGATGTTGGAGTGCTAGACGGCTCCAATTTTTGAAGAGCTGCTGTTACTCCCTCCCTGGAACGATTACATAATTGAAAGTAAATTATGATGAACGAAATTATGGGAAAAATGTTTCATACAAATATACATTACCTTTTCGCGCTTATTTGCTTCGCCTGCTTTTCCGTCACAAGATTTACCTTCTGCAATTCATTTAGCAAACATTCTACATAATTGCACGAGCATGTGGAGTCCATTATATCAAGCAAAGGCGTAAACTGAAGCAACAATTCGAATGCATCTAAAATATCTTGTGAATACTCCAACTTCTCATCGCCTATAAAAATATATGTAAAGTTATGAATACAAATTTCATTTCTTTGATATTTGAAAAATTTTGAATTGAGTTTGACTCACCATTTACAGTAGTTGCGTGCAATTCTTTCAATATGAGAGGCACTTTTAGAAACATGAAAGCTCCCCATTGTGACTCTTTAAATGTTCCTGTCACATTGTGCAGGCACATCAAACAAGCGCGAATTATTTCGCAATAAAGCCGTGCATTTGTATAACTCTTTAATCTTTGCAACATCAATAATTGATTTACAAACACAGTTGTTTCAGTGCTGGGATTCAATAACACTTGAACGGCAAAAAGTGGTTGTAAACAATGAGTGATGGACTCCATTTTAGTCTTTTCAGGGCAGAGACTATCGATCTCTAAATTGCATAATTTTTTCAGAGAATCCTCTATTGCTACTACAGACTTTTGACTGCTCGTTTTGAGTAATGTCTCGATTTCTTGACATTTTTTCACAACATCTATGTACAGATCTGAAAAAGATTATGTATAATAGAAGAATAAAATATTAATTTTTTGAATATAAATCTTATACAACATTATACAATATATCACATTACCATAATTATACATTACCTTTGTCATCATATTTAGCTAGATACATCATAGCACAAAGAAAATCCGAATTCAGTACCTGCTGCAAGATACTGGCAGGTTTGTCTAATAACTCATTTGAATGCAGAGTAAGAGGATTATTCTGGGGTACTTTTGTCAATGCATGTAGATAACATTGCAAGAGCCAATGGACAATAGATAAAACTGCTGCTGCTAAAAGATCTTCTTCTGGTTTACCACGACATGTAATACCAACTTGTATTGATTCCAAAAATTCGAGTAAGCTTAATATGCAATGAGGCTTGTGAAATGCATCGTATTTACTTATTCGCTGCAACACTGCTGCATATGACACTAGCTATAAGATAATTTGTAACATGAATCATTGATATATATTCAAAATACAATATATAAATACGAGTATTAGAGTACAATAAACAAACCTGAGAGCTTAAAGAATGTTTCAAATATGACAAAACTAATTGATTAGGCCCTGGTCCTACTAATGCTTGTTGTAATATACAATCAGCTAAGTTATGTACATCACCGCTTACTCCCCTTGGAAGAATCTAAAGAGATATGTTTTATTTCAGACCATCATAGAGAGTAAAAATATTAATCATATTCAAGTACTGCTTATTATTGATGCTTACTGTTTTAATATTAATACCCCATTGCAAGTCGGTCCAACGTTCTCGCCATGCTCGTAGCAATAGCGCTTTTAAACTGCTGGTTTTACTAGTCACTTTAGTTTCCATTGGTATGGTTAAAACATTATGCAGTTTTTGCCACATTGAAGACGTTTGATTGTTTGCAATAAAAAAAGCATCTTTCTGAAATAAAAAATGATAACAATATAAAATATTGATTTTATATATAGATATAAAAAAACATTTATTTTTAATTAATTTTTGAATGCAAATAAATATCAATTACCAATAGTTTAATATTATAAGAATAAAAAAGATATATATTATTATTTGCAATAACATAACAATTCTAAACTAACCTTTGGACAAAATTTATCTTTTGTATTTGTAGAATGTATGCATATAATTTAAGTAATTTTTATTATAAATACTTCGTCGAAAACAAATCGTATTTATTAAGTTTTAAAAACATATCATTCTTTTATTTATCTTCTTTTTACATTTTATTATTATCTTTATGTATATATAGACAGGTCTTCTAACCTCAAATTAGCAAGACCAATCATAGATCAAAGAGTAAAGAAACACAAGAGCAGAGAGGGTTTCGACTCAACGAACACTATGGGTCGAAAGCGCGCTAAATTCGACTAAATTCAAATTTCCGATCGATATTATTTGCTTCGTATTTTGTTACTGAATGTGACCCGGATGACTTAAAAAGTAAATCAAACTCATTACTTTTCAAAATATTATATATTATTATTCAAGAGAAAAAAAAGTTGTCTTGTGCTTCATATTTTCGTAAAACTTTTTATTGTAGCGAATTACTTAATCGCATAAATATAACAAATCTCTCTTACCATTATATATATATATATATATATATATATATATATATATATATATATATATGTGTGTGTGTGTGTACGTATACACACACACACACATGCGCGTGTATATATGATCAATTATACATCAAATTTTTTTTATAAATATATTTATTATGAACAAAACACAATTAAGTATAAAAATAGAAAGAAATTATGTATGCATAATATAATAACATAAAACTTGACCACAATATAATCCAATGTGATTATACGAATATATAGAAATAAATTGGCGCAAAAATGATAGCTCCTAAAAAAGTCAAATATTAATAGGAATCAAAAGAAAAAAGAAAAATCGAAATTTCATCATTCTCGTTTCCTAATTCGAATTACCTTTGGCAACTAGACATCATAAATCTAAATATAGGAAAAACACGACAAGTCCATAATAAGATCCACTTTAGATGTATAATTTCATATACAAGATAAATCGTATAAATTAATTATATAAATTTATCATATTCCTCTGAAGTGCTTCAACATGTATTAAATACTTTTTGTTTTATGGATACTTTGCATTAGTGTGCAAAATAATCTATGTATAAATTGATACATTGCTGTTAAGGCATTACAATGCTGAGTATATAAATATATCATGTTGCTCTGCTAATATAGCAGTATATTGAATTAGTAATCTTGGAATAAATATACAAATATACAAATATTTCTGAACATCTATAATATTCTTGTTCACCACAGAACAACTGTGAAGAATCGTGATTGTAAAGATACGCATCCCAATTTTACAATAGACAGCTATGTATTTATTTTGCAGGTTTCAAATTAATATTCCGTAACATGCATAAGTCACGTGCTGTCGCTTTGCGTCCAATTATAGTTTGTATATCATATAATCTTAGTAAAATATCAGTCGTGAACAACTCAGGTAATGCTTTAAGAAGACAGGGTACCTAAAAACAAACAATTATAAATATAAAATTATAGTTTATATTCTAAATTAATATATATAGATCTTATTAATACTATACATATGATTAATAGAAAAACAACTTTCTCAGGGAGATTAATTTCGACGTGCAATTTATGTTGTTTCTTGCAACATTTATTTATATTAAAAACAAAAAATAAATATATTATTAGTTACTACACACAAACACATCATATAACATACCAGTGTTTGAGGCATTCCCTGCAACACAATACGAGTCCTGTCTTTCCCACATTGTACTGTAAGTCGCAGGAACTGAAAGATAAAGTGAGTCTGTTGGGATATCTCACCATCTCTACCAGCCAAAAAACTAAATATAGTGAACAGGTTGTTCAAAGCAGTCATAAGCGGATCCTTCAAAATAATCTCTGATTTTTGTCCATTACTAGTACTCTGCACTTGTGGACTTTGCGAACCGTACATGGGAATGCTCTCTCCCGTTTCATTCAGTCGCAAAAGCTTATTAGACATGCTTAATGGGTCCAATTCGTCCGCATCCAATTCACGCCGCACGCGTTTACGATTGTTACCTCGATATGGATTCGAATTGATGTATTCCAAAGTGGAAAATATACAATACACACACAATTTCGCCAAGATGGATGATTGTGGTTCTACAAGCTCGTCATTTCTATATAACAAAATTTACATTTGATCAATATTTTGAGATGAGTTTATGCAAATATAAAATTTTGATGGAAGAAATATGATTGTATGAAATAAACTTACTGTAATGAATTGTGTAAATATTGTGGTATTATGTGATTTATAAGATCCAGGGTGCAATTTTCTATATCAAGATGGAAAATGGCAAATGCCAGATCTACAGCTTGATCCAATTCTTCTTGATAACGATATTTTAATACTTCCTTTACTATATTTGTAACAAACCATAAAGAACCACCAGTATTTAATAAGGATTCCAATGACTGTGTAGCTTGTATGTTTATCCAACCACGTTGATTTATATTTTGCCAAACGGATTCCAATTGTTCTAGTATTGGCTGCCGCGAAATAATACTGCAAATATATAAAAAAACGTTATGAAAATAATTATTTCTAGAACAATAATAAGAATTTATTTTTAAAGAGCGTCATAGTACCTATGGGACATAGAAAGCACTTTTGTTTTCGATTGTGTAGGCGGATGTACGTCGTATTGCATTTTCCGAATAATTTGAAACATTAAACTAGATCTGTGGAAAAGAATAGAGAAGCTTAAATCTTATAATATCAAAAATAATATTACAAAGATAAATATATAAATTAATGTTTTCATTTAACGAAAAATAGAGATAATTAAATAATATTTTTTCTTTTCTAATTAGACAATAATCCTATTTTTTTTCTTATGATAATACACGCACCTCTCTTTGAGATTATCCTGCATCTCATCACCCGGTAACGGCGTCAGAAAATGCTGAACCATATTCATGGGTTTCAATAGAGCATCTTGATGGGTAATGCTCATGTAGGCGCAAAGCCATGCTGCCGCGCAGACCGGTAGACAGCATGCTGCTGTACGCAAACCGTCCAGAGCCCTTTTGACATCACCTGCGCCCAATACGCCACTTTCCCACGCGCAGAGTAACTCCTTCACCGCGCCCATCGCTGACTGACATGCAACGTGCCATTTCAGATTACTAGATTTAAAATCAGGATCTGGCGAATTTATTTGCGCTAGCAAAGCATCTACCCTTGCTGGATCGACACTCTGCAGCATTTTCTGTGGCGATTTTGGCTTGTTTCGTTCTGGCATACATTCATATACCCATTGCTCGAAGAATGAATCTCCGCCTTCTTCTAAGACAACCTATGAACCAATTTACACCTATCTTACACAATGTATACGGAATGTAATCGAATGTATAAAGTTATGAAGCCTTTCTAAGTGAAATTTAAATAGGAAGCAAACTTACATCTGAGCCATATGTTTGCACTATGGAGCACAACATAAGGAATGATACATCGAATAACATTGCTCTTGTAGCTGCTGTTTTATCAGGCACAGGCTCATTGATCTGTTTACTGCTTTCATTGAACTTGATGAGTTTAGCGACAAAAGTCTTCAGTTTCCCTTCTACAGTCGCAACAGCTAGCATCAATTCAAAGCTATTCCCCGTCAAGACGTGATACAGCATGCTCAGTAAAGCCTCTTGAATTTTCGTGTAATCGGCATTTAACGTCTTTAAAATTCCGGCTAATGTTGGTTTTGCTCGTATAATAACTTTCGGAATAGACGATGTAGGAGTGTTCGACGGTTCTAATTTTTGTAGCGCCGCTGTCACTCCTTCCCTATAATGATTGTGACATAATAGGAAATAAATTACAAAGAGTCATTATGAAAGAAATTTTAACAGAAATAATATTTTGCGTGTGTCTCACCTTCTTGCGCTTATTTGCTTCGCCTGCTTTTCCGTCACAAGATTTACCTTCTGCAATTCATTTAGCAAACATTCTACATAATTGCACGAGCATGTGGAGTCCATTATATCAAGCAAAGGCGTAAACTGAAGCAACAATTCAAACGCATCTAAAATATCCTGAGAATACTCGAATTTCTCGTCACCTACGAAAAAAGTAAAGCTATAAAAGAAAGCATCGCTTCTCGATACTTAAAGAATTTCCAAATGTTTGACATACTATTTAGAGTAGCTGCATGCAACTCTTTCAATATAAGAGGTACTTTTAAAAACGTGAAAGCTCCCCACTGCGACTCCTTGAATGTTCCTGTCACATTATGCAAACACATTAAACAAGCGCGAATTATCTCGCAATATAATCGCTCGTTCGTATAACTCTTTAATCTTTGCACCATTAACAGTTGATTGACGAACACAGCTGTTTCAGTGCTAGGATTCAATAACACTTGAACGGCAAAAAGTGGTTGCAAACAATGAGTAATGGATTCCATTCTAATTTTCTCAAAAGAAAGACTTTCAATCTCCAAATTGCACAATTTTTTCAGAGAATCTTCTATTGGCACTGCAGACTTTTGATTGCTTGTCTTCAAAAACCTCTCAATTTCCTGACATTTCTTTGCAACATCTATATACAGATCTGAAAAGAAGAAAGTTATATACAGGATGTATCAAAATTTGCGGATGTGGAATGCACAGCGTGATAGTTTGTGCCAAAATAAACAATTTTTCCCTTTAACAAAATTGCGTCTGAATTTTACTTTTTTAATGACAGCAACTTTAAGCTAACGAATAAGCGCTTTAGATTACGCATGAATCAGGGGTGCATTTGAGCATATACGTTATTTTATTATTTGCTAAAGGTTTTATCAGAACTATGCATGATAACTAAATATTTATTAAATATCTACTAATAACTATTTTCAAAACAATTGACTTAATGAAAGAACATTTTTCATTCACACGTTATCTAATCTATTAATTTTATTTTTAGTCATTGCTTCAGTGATATCAAGTGGAAAATATTCTTTCCTTAAATAAATTTTGAAGTTTTGAATATAATTATTTTGAATAACTATTTAATAGATATTTAATAAATATTTAATTCATTCCGCATCCGCGAATTTTGGTGTATCCTGTATAATGAATGATAAAACATTAATTACTTCATAAATCTCTAATTACCTTTGTCATCATATTTAGCTAGATACATCATTGCGCACATAAAATCTGAATTTAACATCTGTTGCAAAATACTGGCAGGCTTATCTAGCTCATTTGAATTGGGAATAAGAGAATTATTCTGGGGTGTCTTGGTTAATGCGTGTAAATAACATTGTAAGAGCCAATGGACAATAGATAAAACTGCCGCTGCTAAAAGATCCTCTTCTGGTTTACCACGACATGTGATACCAACTTGTATCGATTCCAGAAATTCTAGTAAGCTCAATATGCAATGAGGCTTGTGAAATGCATCATATTTACTTATTCGTTGCAACACTGCTGCATACGACACCAACTGTAAGATGATTTATATGAGTCTTTGAGACCCAAAATAAAATTAAATTAAAATGCAATAAACAAACCTGAGAGCTTAAGGAATGTTTTAGATATGATAGGACTAATTGATTAGGTCCTGGTCCCACTAATGCTTGTTGTAATATACAATCAGCTAAGTTATATACATCACCGCTTACTCCCCTTGGAAGAATCTAGAGATATGTTTTATTTCAAAACATTATAGAAAGTAAAAATTATCATATTCAAGTACTGCTTATTATTGATGCTTACTGTTTTAATATTAATACCCCACTGCAAATCAGTCCAGCGCTCTCTCCATGCTCGTAACAAGAGAGCTTTTAAGCTGCTAGTTTTACTAGTTACTTTACTAGTCTCCATTGATAAAATTAAACTATTATACAATTTTTGCCACATTAAGAATGTCTGGTAATTTGTGATAAAAAAAACATTTTAACCTAAAATAAAAAATAAGATTGAATATATGATTTTATATTTAAAAAAACGTAAAGAAAATTTATTTTTGAGTAAATTTTTAGATATAGATAATTAAATGATTAATATTAATTGTTGATGATTTATTAATGTTACAAGTACTATATAAAAATTGTCTGAAATAAATACTAAAATATATTCAGTATTATTACCATAATAAACATAATGATTAATTTAAACTAACCTTTAGACAATTTGTCTTTTCAGTAGATATAAAACATATATAAAGTAATTTCTATTATAAATTCATCGACAAAAACAAATAGTTGTTATTATTATAAAAATTTATCACTTTCTCTTATTTCCTTTTTTTACAATATATTGTTGTTTTATGCAGGCACCTGTGACAGGCACACACGGATCTTCTAACCTCGAATTACCTAAATCGAGCATAAACATACAAGAAAACATAGATTGGCTATCGATAAGTTAGGTTCATCGACGACGCTTCGATAAAATGCTGTCCGATACAGTAATATTCAACTGACCAATCAGAACAAAGGAATTTTTGTTGTCTTGTTCCGATTGGTCGATCAAACTCCGGGGATTTTAGCCAGTGACACGACGTTTCCGTCGTCGGTAAAACGAACGGAAATGTAATGAATAAAGCTTCGGACTTCCGGCCGCCCGTTTTCACTTCCGTCAGGGAAGTGGACGTGCCAAGTGCTACTAGCAGACCAGGCATTATCTCGTTGTTCTTGTCGCCTTGTGGAACTTCGCGGAAGAGATTCCGCGTGTTAGCGCGTCCCAAGAGAGACGCGTTTAGAGAGGAAGAAAGAGAAGCCACTCCTCGTGAAAACTCGTTAATTCAAGCGTCATCAGACTTTCCTCGGCACCTCTTGCATCGCGCGTCGACAGTTTCTTGTTCACTCTGTTCGAATACTTTATCGTCGAAAAAAAAAGCCACAATGACGGACAATCGTAAGTACCGTATACGATAATATTTAAAAAATCACGTACTTACGATTATGTTGCTCTCTCCCAAACGCACGAGTTTGAAACAGCTTGTCTTTCCACGCTAGACGAATTGGAGTAATGTCGCTAAAATCGTTGCTTCTCGCGGTGTCGAAAATGGCGATTAGCAAACTTGTGGAAGATATCTTATAATGCTGAAAATTTATCAGAATTGCTATATTTTCTTAAATGTGTTAAGGAGATTAAAAAAATATTGATTTTGTATATAATGAACAATTTTAATATAATAACGTAATATAATAAAACAATAATATAAAAAGTTAGAGTAAATATATATTGCAATATGGCATCAATTATTGAAATGTTTGCTTTAAATTTGCATGAAATTTTATAGAGTACTCAAACTATCAGCAACAAGGATATAATCAGTATAGCCAACCACCACCCTCGGCTGGTCAGGATACATCGTATCCACCTCCTTCTACAGGCACAGGTGGCTACAATCAATATAGTCAACCACCTCCGAGTACCGGTACCAATTATGGCAATTACGGCAACTATAGTTCTAACACCGGTCAAGACTATCCATCTCAAAACCAAGGCAGCTATGGACAAAATAGCTACGGTGGAGGTAGTAATACAGGCAGTGATAGTGGTAATAACTATGGTGGAAGCTATGGACATGGAAGTAGCGGAGGCGGCAGTGGAGGATATCGTAACTCTAGTGGTGGCTATAGTGGAGGTAAATATTTTTCTTATATTTTTTGCATTTTTCTTTTTTTCTCTCTTTGTTAAATCTTACATTTTTTGCCACAGTATCTCGAAATTTACTTTATACTTTCTTAAAAATGATAATGAATAATTTCTCTCCTATGATGAATAATTAATAATAATTCTTCTTATGAAATTATTTATCTTGTTATTTGTATGTTTCTTAGGCCAAGGAGGTGGCGGCGGAGGCGGTAGATATGGTGATCGCGGCGGTTATGGAGATCGCTCCGGTGGTGGTTACAAGTAAGTTTATTTAAAAAATTTTTAATATACTTTAATAAAGCGACAACCGGAGCAACAGACTCCGACGTATTAAATTAAAGCCAACAGCCACTGCATTCACAATGATCTATCTCGCAATAAACGGCTTTGTTGAAGCAAAATCAAAGGTATGCAATGAAGTTCTTAACGCCAATAATGGAAATTCTTGTTGTATCATCATTACGAACGGTTTTATGCCCGGTTGGGCGTTAATATGTTTGAAGTATGCCTACAGGTTTAACAGACAGATATAACTGAGGTAAAGAGGTAAAAAAACAGTATATGACAAATGACGTAAAAGGTTGTAATGTAGACATCCTATTTGCTGATTCTGGAACTGTAACAAACACATAACACACACGTACATACATACATGTAAACGACGTACGTATATATGTATATGTGTTGTAGTTCTGTGCAAAGGTCTTAAATCAATCAAGACCGTAAAGCGATCGATGTCGCTACTGGGACTACTGTTGTCATATTATTTCTATATTAGGCATATTAAATATATAATTAGGCAATTATAAGGTATTTAGAGTCTATCGTAAGAGATTACATTATCGAACTACTATTATCGTGCAGGTATTTTTCGAAAAAGCACATGTTTTGAGAATAAGCTGGATATGTGATATATGTTAGATTCGCATTTGCCTTCAGCGTACACGGTTTTTACTATGCGTATTGTTACTTGTAGCTGTGGTGTATATTGGTATTCACGTCGTAACAGGCATTTTTTGGAAGATAAAAATTTTTTTTCTATTAATTAAACCTCTACGTATGAAGTCTACAAACACATGAAAACAGCAAAGTACATTGTGTGTCGACTGTGTTTTGCATTTAGAAATTTCCCAACTGCAACAGAATCAACGGCAAATTGCAGCGGATACTTTCTTTCCGCGGCAAAAATTTTTTACTCGCAACACACAAGTAATCTCTTACTTTTTTTTTGGTTTGAAAAAATGACGGGAATATATGTGTCCAGGTAAAATTGAAGAATACTTGTTTTATTAAGACTTGTCTTTCTCGAAATTCATATTATCCGGATCGAACAGACCGAACACTTTGATTTATCTTTGTTTCGATTTAAGTGTTGTTTTTACATATATAAAAGTAATCTCTCTCTGCATGTTTCAACGAAAAGACTAGAACAAACGTGACTTGACGTCGGGACGAAAACAGGAAAATTTAATGCAAATCATAATGTAATGACTGTAACAGACATTTAGACAAATAGGTACATCAATCAAGAAGAACGGTGGCGAGCGGCATACATACGATTCGCCATGCATCGATCGTTCGATCAGTCTGTCCATGAGTCAACTCATTGGTATATCTGCTTCTGTGTTTTAGCAGTGGCGGTGGCCGTGGTGGTTATAACAAAGGTAAATGCACCAGACTGTTTGTACTAGTCTGGTGCTAAATATTCTAGCTTTCACTCTACTATTTATACGATCTTAAATACTCGGTTACTCGGTTACTATATGAAAGGGCTGCTATGCAACATTGTTAGGGGAAGTGTTGTAAAATATTTCTCAATGGTAATTTCACTATGTGATACGATACATTCGCACGGCATTCATTGAGGCCGGGGAACGAGGAGAATCAATGATGAACCGTTCTAATTCTACTTGTAGTATATAATTGAAAAAGAGACTATGTATATTATAATCACCAATTGCTTTTTTTTTCCTATAAACGGCGACGCTTGCGTGTCCTTTGCTATGTTATATCGTTAAAAAATAAGATTTTGCAAAAGCAGGACGTTCCGTTTAATCAAAAAATTAGATGTTTTATATTCTGTAAGATTATTATTACTCCGTATATATACCCAACAAGTAACGTACTGTGCGGTGACGTCGTTCAGTACGGAAGCAGTGTTTTGGAAAATCCCTTAAAAAAGATCGATGAAAGAGGTTCGTCTTAAAAAGGTATAAAAAGATATGAATGGATTTATTACGTTCATCTTGCGAAAAAGAAAGCAAAATAGAACAAAATAATCCTACAATATGATCATCATATAGATTTTTGGTGTGGTCATATATTTGAACGCGATATTTTCAAACTGTATAAGCATAAGCGTGAAAATATGTATAATACAAGCGCGAAAAAAGGAGTAAATAAAAGGCAGCTGGTGAGCTACTTGCCGATCTATTATGATTAAATCATTAAGTGTAAGAGATAATGTTGCAGCCCTTTTGTATGCTCAGCTGCAACCTTGTGTTCTGTATATGTATTGTTAGGTATTAATTGGAATATTAGAGACTGCTACTAATATACGTTATATATATATATAGGTTTTTAAAACTCAAATAATTTACACAAAGAGATTAGGATGTATGCTGCATACACACAAATATAACGTTATTCAAAATATACGAAAAACTTCAAATTATGGAAATGTGTACAAGAAGTTACCAATTATTATTTAGTAGAGTTGTGTAAAATATCTCTTTTCTTTTTTTCTTTTTTTTAAATACCTATTAGAAAGAAATGCACAACAATAATTATACTTAATGAATAATATAAATTATGCGTAATGAGAGGTAAAATAACTTTCTATAAGAATATACATAAGAGCGTATATACATATCTAATTATTATTATAATTAACTAATATAAGTCTGCAATATATGTTACGAAAGAGAAAAACTTAATCTGTTGTACGATTTACTTATAAATTCAAATTGAATCGTAAAACTAGAATGTAACCCAAACGAAACTGATCTATCTTTCTTCTGCTTATATAATTGAAAAACGACAGAAAAGTCGTACAATATCGAAGCCGCGTATATACAGTTTCGGCACGATATCGTAAGACTTAGAAAAGTGTGAAAACTAACATCTTGAAAACACAAGCATTATATCCTTACTAAGAATTGTCATTATGTGTCATTAAGAGAAATATGAGAAAGTTTAAAAGATATACTTGATAATTTTTATCAAGAATTGTGTGAAAACTTGGAGAGAGGTATATGGACAGTGTTTCAAAATTTTTATGATAAACATTAATGTTATTTGTATAGAAAATACATAACGCAGAAACACTTTCCCTATACTTTTAGATTAGGATAAAGTAGTAGTTCCGACATCAGTAGAGATACGCGAATATATTTTTACTTTAAATGTTTCTCTGTGCGACGAATCATGACTTTCGGTCCATTGCAGGAGGCTACAGTGACCGTAACAGCAGCGGTGGTGACGGAATGGTTACTCAAGAAGATACTATTTTTGTATCCGGTATGGATCCATCGATCTCTGAAGAAGAAATTGTTTCACATTTCGGTGCGATCGGCGTGATTAAAGTACGCATTTTGACCATTTCTATGCGGATAAATATTTATTACATATAATATTTGATGCGTGTATGATTTGTAATAATGTTATTAAACTAAAAGAATCAAATGTATTTAAAATTAAATATAAGATGTCAAGTAATAGTATAGTTATATAATATAAAGATAACTATTTTAATTATACAATTGTTTGTTAAACGTTGAAAATTTCCTATTTTTAGCAAGATAAACGCACGGGCAAGCCAAAAATTTGGATGTACAAGGATAAGAATACGGGGAAATCAAAAGGAGAAGCGACCGTCACCTATGATGATCAGAACGCTGCACGCTCAGCCATTAACTGGTTCGATGGCAAGGATTTTAAGGGTTGCACAATAAAAGTACAAATAGCGCAGCATAAGAGTAGTTGGCAGGGCAACCGAATGGGTGGTAGTCGCGGCGGCGGTGGTCGTGGTCGTGGTGGCGGTGGTTTCGGTGGTCGCGGCGGCGGTGATCGCGATGATCATCATCGTGGAGGAGGCGATGATCGTGGAGGTCGCGATGGTGGAGGTCGCGGAGGCGACTGGAGGTACATTATATTTTGCACTTGCGCAATCCTTCCATTAAATTGACATTATTACTTAAATCACACACGGCTATTCAGAAATCAACCTCCACTAGGCTTGTAAAATAAAACAAGAAATAAGAAGATTTATTATACATAAAAATTACATACATCGACATAATCGAATTAAGATATTTATCATAACGCGGCACAAACTTTTATATATCTTCAGTGAGGTGTCATTGAGCTAGAATCTCAATCAATTCTTAGCATTCCTCATCGATTCCTCATTACCTTCAAATTGCTACATTTCTAGCCACACTTTCATGCGCGTAAAGTTTGAAATCATTCAGTGTAAGGTCTGATAGATTTTTCGATCACTTTACAATTCGGACCTTGCACCGAATTATTTTTATCTATTTATATAAAAATATGACTAGGAACACTCGAAAATATAAGAAATTGATGAACTTTGTTAAAAGTTAACTAAAATTTTAGTTTGGCGACATCATACTTTAAAGAGATTAAGTCTGAGAAGCAAAAGCTGCCACACTACAATAAATGTCTCAATTCGAGTAGCAGTTGTCAAAAAATAGCGTATATATATAAATAACTTTTCTATGATAAAATGTTTTTCCTATATTTCTTGTTTTATTTTACAAGTCTATTGGAAGTTGATTTCCAAATGACCCTCGTATATCTGACGACAAAAAAAGATATCGAAGGAAAAAGTAATTATTACAAAACCTGTTTGTCAAAAACAGGTGTCCGAATCCCGAGTGTGGTAATACAAATTTCGCATGGCGGGATCAATGTAATCTCTGCAAAAGCTCAAAACCGGAAGGTCTTGGTTACGGCGGTGGTGGTGGCGGTGGCGGCGGCGGCGGCGGTAGAGGCGGTGGTGGTCGAGGTGGTAATGATCGTGGAAATCGAGGAGGTTATAGAAATGATCGAGGCGGACGTGGAGGTGACAGAGGCGGTAGAGGTGGCTTCCGGGGTGGAGACCGAGGAGGCCGTGGAGGCCGAGGTGGTCCTATGAGAGGAGGCGGCGGGTAAGATTCCCATTTCTTCTTATTATTCTCTTCAATATAATGGACATAAAATGAAATGAATGTATATAATAAATCTATATATTAATTGCGTATTAACTTATGCATTTTATTTTGTTTCAGTCGAGGCGACAGAGATAGAGATCGTCAGCGACCATATTAATTTCATATTCGTATAATTCTATGCTTCAACAGTCGTATGACTATGCTGTCACTAAACGACTTGTACACATTTTGTATACAGTTTTAATGCTTGTACATTTCGCAAAGTGATAATCACTCCTTACATGTCGTGTACTTTTTACTTTCTGTTCATGTAATTTTTTTATATTCATTGGAGATACGAACTTTGTATATTATATATACATATATATATATATATATATATATATATATATATATATATACATACACGTATGTATGCATGTTCGTGTATACAAAAAACTATTCCTATATAAAATCAAATTCAGTAGAAAATAATAGCAAAAACTTCGTTACATAAACATGTAATTAATTGATTTTTTTATTTATCATCTACACTATCTCATTTAAATAAAATAAAAAAGAAAAAACTTTGGGGAAGTTTATTTATTACAAATTGAAAATATAATATAGTTAACTTATTATATATATCTGATGGAGAATTATAACTTACAAGAAAACTTCGCGAACCCGGAAATTCTGATTTTGAAAAACTTCATCAAGAATTCCCAAATTCGCAAAGTTCTTTTGTCAGAAACACAACTAAAATATGTTGTCATATAATCGAGAGAAGTCTAATTTCTTAAACAAACTGTATTTAATACTTTCCTTTTTGTCTTTTCATTATGATATATCACTAAACGAACACATTTTATATATAGTTTCAATGTTTATACATCTTTCTAAATTCCAAGTGATAATTACTTTAACATTTCTTAAAATGTACTTTTTACATTCATATAATTTTCTTATTTATTGAAAATACGTACTATCAAGTGTATATCATATATATGTATATGAAATTGTTCCCATATAAGATCAAATTTAATAGAAAATAATAGAGAAGACTTCATTGCATAGGCATATAACTGACTTGTTTATTTATCGTCCACACACACTATTTCACTTTAAATAAAAGACAAAATTTTGGGAAAGTTTATTTATTGAAAGTTGAAAATATAATACAGTTAATTTATATTATATATATGTATACAAATTTGATGGAGAATTATATAACTCAAAGACGTGACCAAAATAAATACGTCTTCGCCTGTAATCGGACTCAAGAGAAGCCGAATTTCTTAAACAAACTGTATTTAACATTTTCCTTTTTCTCTTTTTATTATGATAAATATATTTATAGAGTTCCGTAATATATCACGTTAGCTAAAGAGATATATATATATATGTGTATGACGTGTAGTATTGGTATTTATATAATTTTTCGGTATGTATATGTACACACAGATACCTAAGTATGGATAGATTACATGAAGACCTCTAGTTTATGGATTTACTTGAATGCGCACCGCAACCATTCGTTTCTCTTTGCTCAATCTTTACGCTTGCGTGACTCCTTGGACAGTTCCTAAAATAATATGCACAAACATCTTGTGATTATTGAAATAAAACTCTTTAAGAATCAAAATTTTTACAAAAAAAAAGAAAAATTAATGTGATAGTTAAAAAAAAATAAAGAAATGATTTAACATTAAAATCATTAATTTGTCAAAATAATTTACCTTTTGCGTAAGTATCACAAGGAGATGTCGAAAAACGCCAATAAAATCGATGAATAAGTCCAAGGAATGCATGATGAAGTCTCTACTGCCCATATGATGTTTCTCGATAATCAATTGCGTGTCATAGATAACAAAGCCGCAGATCACAAATAGTCCCAGATACAAATGCGCTTGATAGATGAAAGTCGAGCGCAAGAACAGATTGGCAAAGGAGAACAGAATCATGATGTTAAGCATGCTCATTAAGGTGCCCCCGAGATACAACCAACGACCACGTTCAGCCAAAAGTGCAGAAATGCTGAAGGAGACGAAAACTACCGTCGTACCTGTAATCATTTTATGATCATGTCACATATGTATACAATATACACATTAAAAAAATAATTGATTTAATAGTATTAAACATTTGTCGATAATGACTATCTTTTCATCATTTTCTTAATAATATTATACAAGATAAGTAATTAAGAATTCCTAGATGAAACAAAATGATTTATTGTAGATCTAATACTTCATCTTAAAAAATTAGAAGAAATTGCTTACTCACCAACTAACGCTGTTACCACTATACTCGGATCTATGCTGATTACCATTTCTAGCAAGGGACCTAATCCAAGGCCAGATAAGAATGCGAATCCCAGGAGGTAACTGAGGCGCAGCTTTTGATTTTTACCATTATCAGGTGTTGTCATTAGTGCAATAAGAAGACCCAGGGTACCAAAAGTTGTCAACAGATTAGCCTGCAGGAGCTGCGTATACATATGTACATAAGCTCCTGCAGCCGCTGACACGGTGGACAGCGACAAGCAACCATAGACATTCTTCAAGTGTTGTCTGACTGGTGCATTTCTGTGGATATAATGCATAACTTGTTAACATTAAATCGATTTGCATATTAGAAAGTATTAAATTTACTCTTATGTTTTATGAAAATATATTTATGCAAGGATAGCTATTTCGTTAGAATTCTAAGTGGGAAATGCATATTTTTTTCCACGTGCATAAATTTATAATCTATAAAAACTAAGCATTGCGCGAAAAAAAAATTCATTTTTTATGGTTGTTTAATCAAAATTTCAAGATAAATATTTTCCATTATTTTGTCTATTAGTTTTATTGCTAAGTATGATGTAACTTTTACCTTGATATTATCTTTTATTGCTTTATATTCTAGGTGTTGCATAATTGAGAGCTTAAATGTATCTTTAATTACACATAATTTCAGTTAAATTATTGTGATAACTGAATGACTCACTCATTGTTGCAATATTTTTAACTTTAAAGAAAATATTTTTAACTTTAAAGAAAATTTTGTAACTGTATTGAAGAAGATATCATGAATGTTTAATATCTCAACATGAAAAGAATATGATAGAGTTATCAAATTTATGTCTTTATTATCATCACGATACGCTCATAAAACAAAAACAATATCAAAGTAATCAAAATAATCGGTCCGATGTACGAAGAGAGACTTATCTAATTAGATAACATTCTAGAAACCGGGGAGTTCTTTTTACTATGTCATCCTCTCTCCACCTCTCTTCGTACATTTACGAACGTTCGCGAACTTTGAACTTAGATAATGTTATATATATATAATGTTTAAATTAGTTCAGTTTTCTAGTTGACAGTTCTCTCCATCTTAAAAAAAGTAACCGAATAATATTTACTTTGCGGAAGAGACGCGATCCAAAAAAAGACTCAGCAAAATAACAAACATCAGTGGATATCGAAAAGTTTTATATAGAATATCGGTACACTTCTACTTGACATTATATATTAATGATAGATGACATTGAGAAGTTTGAAATCGATTTTTCCATAATGAAAATATCGAGGAAGGTCGTTATTATAATAGTCGCGAAAGCTCTTTCGACATTATGCAAAGTGTGTTCACGCTTTCCATTATACATGTTCACTATACGCAGCTTAAATTACGTCGTCCTGTATTCACGGATGGACGAAGGTACTCGTTCTGGGACACGTATCACACCAAAGTTGAAGGTCATAAGTATCGCGAAGCGATATGCATGCATGCATGCATGCATGCATACATATACATATATATATATATATATATATATATATATATATATGCATATATATGCATATCATAAATTTTATGCTAATCACTCTTGGCGGAGGATGTGGAGGTTCGCGAGATGAGAACAGGCGGATCGCGGAAACTGCGATGTAAGGCAACGTAATGGCCAGGAGAGGACGAAAAAATTCGTGTAAACATCCCGGGTCGACGGAGGTGGACGAACAGGGGAAACTGCACGTCGGAAAATCTTGTACACTTACAATTTGTTGCTGAAGGAATTTACAAAATTGTTGAAGACCGCTGCCATAATTTTGCTGTCGTTCGGCTGCTTCTGTCTTTGGACGATTCTTTCTGACGCTGACGATCGGCACACGCGCTACACAAGACGCTCACTCACGACCCCGATGACTGGCGGTATCTCGGACGTGTCGATTCTATGCGCAAGACGAAATTGCCGTGGCAAAGTCGATGAATCGTATGCACGTACGTAGCCGATCTTCGCACGGGGGACACGTCAGTGATATTTCTGCGCGTAAAACCAACCGACGAGACAGACGAGGATAGGACGAGAACGGACGTGTTCGATTGCTGATTGGTGCTGCGGCCTGACCAGATGGCGACATCGCATCGAACGCAGTTCGAACGTGCTATATACAAGGCGTCAAGTTTTCTTTTTACTGTTTTTTTTAATCGCGGTTTTTATCTCGATTTTCATTAGAGAAAATATCGAGAGACTTTTGGACAAAAATTTCATTGTTCAATATAGCTCTTCTTCCTTATTATCTTGTATCTATATTTGTATCTTGTCGATTTTTTCACTATTTTTTCTTAAATATACTTTGATATTTGTTTCTTATAGAAATTATCAAGATAGAAATCAAAATTTATTTTCTTGTTATTTCTTTATACTTCTTTCACAATTTTTTTCTCTCTTCAATACTTAGATATTTATCATACATATAAAGTATACATGATACAATATAAAATATATAAATTCTTGTAAATTCCAATTTTCATAAAAATATTTTTTACTGTACAAAATATCCTGATACACAATTTTGATATAAAGTATTAAAAAATACTTACAAATGATTGTGATCATTTCCTTAAAAATAAAAAAATTATTTTCCTTTGTAGCATAAAATTTTTTATTTTTGCAGATTAAAAAAGAAAAAATAAATCAACTCTATCATATTTAATTGACCATTTGATTGTTAAATAATTTTAGGAAAGAAAAATTTTTTCCATTATAAAATTGTATATACTTCTTAGAATGATAAATTACACTGACAAAATTATCTTAACAATCTTTTGGAAACATATACATAACACATGGAATATTAAATATCCATATAAACTCTCTTTCTAAATAAAAAAGAACGTAATGTTAATTATAACAAAATATCAGTAAATTTATACACATTTTCTCTCTCTCTCTCTCTCTCTCTCTCTCTCTTTCTCTCTCTTTCTACATTTTATATAATTTGTTTTGCGTGGCTATTATATTTCCTACATTTCTTTTTTTATATTCTGTTATCTGAATATCGTATATTCAAATCATATAGTCTTTATATTCATTCGACATATATTCAAAAATTACAATACAATCGTAAACTACTGAAATATGCTATTTAAACTACCAAATTATTTCGAAAGCCAATAGAAAAGATTAATGATTTATAGAATATGGAATTTTTTTTTGATACACTGCAATATCATCCCTCTTATATACTCTTATACACTCTGCTGCATAATGCTATTGACACAATCATTTAATAAAATTTATTGTAATTGGGGAAATTGATTAATGAATATTTTGAACACTATATAACTTCCATTTTAACTGTGTTAATTAAGCAGCATTTCTAAGATTGAGGACATTGTATTCTTCCAACATCGCCACTTTCAGATTGACTATCGGTATTGTCAGATGAGTCGTCATTAGAAGAATCATCGAAGCGGTAATCATCGTCGTCATCGTCGTCATTATCATCTTCGTCATCGTTATCTCGATTCGGAATTTCAAGATTCGGATCAAATCCATGACGCATAAAAAGTTGCTAAAAAAGAAATAACCGTGAAATGAAAAAAAATAAACATGTAACTTCAAATTTCAATTTATAACATTGACAAAGACTAGAATATTAGTAAGAATATATGACAAAAATACTTATATATATATATATATCACTTACATGTATTCTATCTCTTTGACGTATATGTCTCAGCAAAATCCAACACAATTGTCCATTAAGTGTAGCATCAGGCGCATTTTCTTGTTTTCTATTTTTCATATTGGACTTGATACACTTAAGAAAAAAAGGAAAAATGCAAGAAATCAAATTAATCATTTATGACTTTTTATAATGACAATAGATTAATAATATTTAAATTAATAATTGTAATAGCAGCAGCAATTTATCTTTTTTTTGAAAATATAGTATAACAAATGCAATGAATATATAATATCATGATAAATAACAATAAAACATAGAAAAAGTGTGCATAAGAAAAGAAAGAAAAAAGAATATATATAAGAAAACATAAGATACGATTTTGTTGTACATACATTTGTTAACGATTTCATCATTGGAGGTTCTTTGCAAGAAGGCACCCATATTTTGACATCATAATCCAATCCACTTGTTGCAAGAACAGGAATATGCGGATGTCCTTCTAAACAATTTACCTTTATAATAGAAAAAGAAATATTAAAGAAAGGAATGTCGTTTTCTTCTTGTAAAAAAAAAGATTTATATATTTATTTTATTTTTATGAAGTAAAAAACTTACAACTCCTTGTTTATCTCCTGTCATCCATTGTACAATTGCTCCTGTATTTTTATCCCAAATGAATATATTACCACAATCAGACCCAGATATAATATATTCACTTTTGGGTCCAAAGAAATTGACACCTTTCACTGTAATTAAAAGAAAGATAATAATGTTATGTTAAGAAATTGCAATAATGAAGCATTAATTCCCAAATATGTGAATTAAAAAAAAAAAAACTTACAAAGATATGTGTAATTTATAGAAAAGAATCATCATATATAAAAATTATTTATAATATTATCATTCTATAAATATATCATTAAAAAGCATTATAAATTTGTGTTGAAACATTAAAATAATTACATGAAAATTTAAAATTTAAAAATGAAAATATAAATTTCCTTAATATAATTATATATCATATGTATGTATATAACATACCAGTTGCACTATTTCTATGGCCTTGATATCTATTAGCATCTACATATGATGATGATAATCTGTCAAATAGGTATATGTCTTCATCATTATATGATGCAAGAATTTCAGTTCCATTGTAATTATATACCGCACATGTTACATGCACGTGGTTATTCCCTCCCTAAAATAAATTATATATATGTATATAAGTACATGCACACACACACACACACACACATAAAATATATTCTTTATTTTTAAAAAAATTATTAGTACAGCACAATAGAATAATGCAACATACCAGACGATCAGGACACATTTTATAAAGTGGTGTCGAAACTTTTCGTCGATCATACACTCTCACATAACGAGAACGGCCACTGACGCAAAATTCATTACTATTAAAAGGATTAGAATGTATACTATATAGTTGAACTTCTAATGAACCTTCTTTTACTACTAGTAATCTGTGAATAAAAAAATCTGTTATATAATAAATAAATAAATAAATATATATATATATATATATATATCGTATCCTTCATAAACACATAAATAATAGAAGAAATAAATATATAAACGTTTTTAATTGTAATATATTATTTAATCATAAAAAACAGACTTTTACTCTTACCTGCTTGGTTTACTCTCTCGGATATCTATAGAAAACACCCTTGCATCTTCCCCAGCAGAAAAGACTAAATTAGGTGTTTCAGGATGCACAGCTAATTTATGAGATGGTCCACGATGTGCCGCCAACCTCTTTGACGTATTGTGTTCAAGATCTAATAAACGTACTTGACCGTCTCGAGCACAGGTGACCATGAGGTACTCCATGTCCAATGGTAACCATTTAGCCTTAATGTAATAAATAAAAAATTATTTAAAAATAAATAAATATACAATATAAAAGTTAAAAACATTATTTTCTCATACGTTACTAATAAAGCCATATTAATACATACTTGAAACATATTTCTTGTGTGTCCACTCATAAACCAATGACGCTTTTTTCCCAGAGCCCAATCCCATATAACAACTGCTAAATCGTCAGAGGCACTCGCTAATAAATTTCCTTTTTCATTAAAGTTTAAGGCATTTACACAACCCTGTAAGTAATAATGGAATGTCAATATATAAACAATAATGATTTGATTCTTTTGCAAGTTACACAATGTAAAAGTTGTATAAACAATATAGTTGATAATAATAGTGTAAACATACCTGATGTTCATCAAGATTATACATAAGTTCGAGTCGTTCTACAGCATGTAAAGAACCATAAAACCTTCTTTGAAACAACGGATTGCTACCTATTTGACGATTTAAAACTTCTGGTACTATGTGCCAATTGGGTGGTGGTTTCTCTATTTTTAGGCAATTTGGTATCTCTTCTTCATATTGTTTTTCTTCATTCAATTCATCCTCATTATCTGTTCTCCATTCATTTGAATCATCTAAATTTACCAGAATTTAAAATTCTATATCTAAATATGAAGTTAATAAACATACAAAACTATGAAATACCTCTTTCATTTTTGTATTGATCAGATTCATCATTGTGCGTTTCTGATCTTGCCCTATGAGTCCTTGTACTTTTATTTAATTCTTCATTATGAGTGGATTCATTTCTAGTACTGGCAGATGCAACATTCCCTGAAATTATATATAAAATATATTTTTAAATCATATATACAAACACATACATATAATTTACACACAATTACAAATATAATTTTTTAATAATAATTTATATTTAGTGTATGTGTGTGTGTGTTATATTTCTCATTTATTATAAAACAAGTCTTTAAAAAGTATTTGCAAAAAAATTATAAATAAAAAAGATATATACATATTCAACAATTATATTCTAATATGATTGAAAAAATTTATACATAAGAAACCAAATAATCACCTTCATCTGTATCAAGTATAGAAGGTTCCCTTGTTGCTTCATTTGACAAGGTATTCCCAGAACTGTCCTCATTATCACTCGTTATATTTCGTCTTTTACGATAATTTCGTTGTTTCACTTTTGATTTGGTTTTTTGAAATGTTACTGTGTCATCGCTCATATTTTCAGCATCGATATCGTCTACACTTTTATTTAACTTTTGACGTTTACTCGAATCTTCGTCTGAACTGTCATCCGATTTTTCCATAGATGCATTACTATTGATATGTACTTGACCCTTTGAAATATTGATACTTCTTTTAGCTTTAGCATGATCTGTTTGTAATATATTTGATTCATCCGCATGAGAGGAAGATGAACTATTTTCTTGTGAAGTAGTTGCTTCTAATGCATCAACTGAATTAATAGTTTTACAAAAGATATCTTGTAACATATTAGTTTGGTCACATTTATCAGTTGTCATCTCGATATCACCTGCCATAAAACGTTCCACAGGTTCGAGCATTTGCTCGCTTTCCATAGCTTTGCAAACAAAATTGTTATCAAATTTCGTTTCTTTATTAGCATCTTTTATGACATTGCTCTCGAGTGTTTCAATAGAACTATTTATATCTGTTGAGATGCTTGCAATTTCTAAAGAACTTGTTGGTGTCTTTCTAGATTTGTCGCTCGCAGAATCATCCATGTCAGGAAGATTTACTTCAAAGTTATCACCATGTGCTTCTCCTTCACAATCCATATTTTAAAGTTCATATATTCCTGTTACTTGTCCAGAATATCAATAATCATTTCTTTACAGAGATAGTTGTTTCATGCACTGAAAATTTATATTTGGAAAAAAATATATCAATTAATAAAAGAAATCTATAAATATTCGATTCTTATATATGATACAAAAAATTGCATAAACACGAATTAAAATATCAACGAGTTAATACATAGATATTTATATTTTTCTAGAGTGAATTATGAGACTATAACCGAGATTACAAAAAATATATCCCAGTTAAATTTGTAGCAGAAATTGCAACATATCACGAGGTAACATTCTTTAAAGAGCATGTATGATATAATAAATCGTTACCGATTTAATATGCAATCATCACTCGTAATATAAATCTGTCATTAAGAAGAAGGAAACGAGTTACAGAGATCGCATTGCAGGTGATAGTACAAGAATTAAATCAACAACCACCATAATTTCTAACGTCTCAAATATGACGCAATTATCTTTCCCTTCTCGTATATTTACTTATATTTAATTCGTTCGTCCGATTTTTTTTAATGAAATTACTGCGAAAATGGCCAACGCATATATACGTAACACGTGCGTATATTAACTAAATTATCGTTATAAATTCGATTTTATGGGTGTCTAGGATAAATCTCAGCATGTGTACGATTACGAGAGTTTAAATATCGGAATCAAGATGAAAAAAATGAGACGATTCGACGGGATACTCACCTCTTTCACTTTAACGAAATACGATATGGCTGTACATACGTTCTTACACAGTATCTATATCTACTACGGTATATGTAATAGTACAGTATATACAACACAGTATATAACACGAACGTTTGTCCGCATTTGCAACTGCTTCAACATACATTGGTACACTCTTTCTCTCTCTCTTCTGATTTTAAAGTTAAATCTTGATAGTCATGCGCGAATTTAGAGACAATGCAGGAACCAATCGCTTTTCGTTGCATATACAAATTTTGAAAAAACGGAATGCCGATTGGTCACCATGCAAATCACGTGTTACTTTCAATCCGTTACAAACGTAGAATAAGTTTAAAAAAAAATACCAAGATTATTAATTTATAAAATGCTATCAAAATCATCACCTTAAATAATACTTAATTTTTTTTTTTAACCTAAGCTTATCTTAATAAATTTTTTTTAATATTCGACAAAAGAAAATCAAGGATCAAAGTACGGGTATTAGATTTATTTTTTTGTAATGGATACACAGGATTCTATATAGATCTATGCGATACTGCTGGCATTGGATGCGATCCTTGGCCACAAATCTGCACACTCTTTCGCAACAGGTCCCGTAATAGCTGATCCTTTCATTTCCCCCTTATTATTGACAATCACGCCGGCGTTGTCCTCGAAATATATAAATGTCCCATCCTTCCTACGAAATGGTTTCCGTTGCCGTATGACCACCGCAGGCATCACTATAATATATATGTGTATACATATATCAATATTATCTAAGATTCTTTAAAAAGATAAAAATGATATTTTTCATTTTAAAAAAAAGAGTAATGTAAAAATAATTAATTTACCCTTTTTTCTAAGTTCAGGTTTTCCCTTCTTCACAGTGGCTACGATCATATCGCCAGATCCTGCCGCTGGCAGACGATTCAAGCGGCCCTTGATTCCTTGTACTGCGATGACATACAAATTTTTGGCACCTAAAAAGACAGTTGCAGTAATTATATAAAATTTGTTATATGAATATTATATTAAAAGATAAAAATTAATTCTTATTCAAACAGAAAACTACACATCTACATTTTTATATCTGTATATCTATGAATCAATCCTTTAGAGTTATAAAAATATATGCTATACAATTATATATCTATGTGTGTATTTATGCAAATGTTCTAATATTTCATTTTCATTATAATTAATAAAAGTTCCAATCAAGATAAAACTCATATTGTTATAGTATTTCACCATTATTATCATTAGATTCTTTATTTTTAATAATTTGCTTTTGTACATGTATTTTTTACCGCAACTTTTACCAAATTGACCAATAGATCAAGAAATGTAAAATAATTGAGATATGCTTTACGATTATAAATGATAGTAAAAGAAAAACACGTGCGTCTTATTCGTAAATCGCGATTGCTCTATGAGGTTAAGTATTATGCAAATGAATTTTCTGCATAGACTCACCAGTATTATCGGCACAATTGATAACTGCACCAACTGGTAGACCCAGGGATATCCTGAATTTGGCTCCAGCCGACCCACCACGTCCTTAAATAACAATGTATTATCATATTAAACATATTAAGCCATATTAAACAGTGACATTAGAGCAACGCTTATTTTTGCTTTATTAGCCACTAGTAAGGTAATGTTTCGTTTTTTCGAATAGACCGGACATATTTTCATCTTCTCGCATTTTCACTCGAAACCGATGCGTCGTCCTGACAACGATTCTCATAGATTTTGCTCGGGCTCGATAGAAGACTTACCTCTCTTCGACATCTTGAATTACGAAAAAGAAATCAAACGTGTATTTGTAGTGCCAGAGTGCGCAGTGTGATGCGGCATAGAGATATTTTCCAGTTGAGGCAATCTTCACAAGATAAATTTCCTATGTATTTTGGGCCTGTTCTTTTTAGTTACATCTCTTTACATTGCAATAAATCGTACTCAAGCCGTATCACATTACGGGTTGCAGGCTCGGTTATGGTTGAATCAGAACAAAGCAATTTTCGACCGGCTACTCCGATTGGTCAATTCCAACCGCAACCCGTAGTGTGATTACGGCTTAAATACGTAAAGAAATCCAGAAGAAGAAAACATAAAGAATTCAAAAATATTTGAAAGGAAATGGAACCTAATTTTATGTTTATTAATTAAAAAAAAAAAAAAATATATAGTAAAATCAATATTATGAAGAAACATTTATAAAAAGATAAAGACTCACATGTTCTTATACAAATCAGAAACGAAAGTAATAAGACTTTAGATGGTTTCATAATTTAAATGTGACAATGGCTAAAGTATTAAATTTATTAAAGACGATACGAAATAATTGGAAAAAATCCGTATTAGGAGTCGCAGCTTTTTCGTATGGAATTTCGTACGGCAAACAAACATACGAGTGAGAATCATAGGGAGTATAACCTCTAATTTTCCGCATTTTGTTTAATTCACGTATAGATTTATATTCATATCCACAGTATTCTGTACATTTATTTATTAATTAATATAAATATTTTACGTATTTAATGACATTATATTTCCACTTTTATTGATCTTTTTTGTTAAAATATTACTCAATATCAATGAATTTTCTTTGCTATTTTTTAGTGCGGAACAATTAATGCGTCAGTGTTGTGAAGATGTAGCCAAATATGGAGATACTTCTTGTTCTACAAATGTTAGACCTCGTCATGTAACTGTTATTTTAAACCCAGCAGCCAAAAGAAGGTTCTCATAAAATTTTAATATTGATATAGAAACTTTTTTTTATATAGAACTTTTTTGCTAATTATTTCTTTTTTCTTTTTAGAAAGGCTAAAAAATTATTTGAGAAATATTGTGAGCCTCTATTGCATCTAGCTGGTATTTCAACAACTATTATTGATGCACAATCAGGAAGCCATGTGCGTAATGTAATAACAAATTTGGAAACTCCTACGGATGCTATTATTGTAGCTGGAGGAGATGGTACCTTGTCAGATGTTACAACTGGTTTAATGAGGAAATACGAACATAATCTTCATTCTGTCAAACAATGTCCCATTGGTGTTTTACCATTAGGAAGCACAAATACAATTGCAAGCATGTTTTATCGAGATTACAAAGACTTAGCTGACATACATCACATGATTGATGCAACAATGGCAATTATTAAAAATAATCTCAAATTAATAGATGCTATTGAGATCAAATTGCTGGAAGTATGTTTCTCATTTCTCTTTAGCATAAATGAAATTGCATTCCAGTATAAATTTTAGCTATATTTTATTTTAAGAACGATCCAGAAAATTCCATAAAACCAGTTTATGCTGTAGGAAGTATAAAATGGGGAGCTTGGAGCGATACGCACGCGCGTATTGATAAATATTGGTATTGGGGCTTTTTGCGCAAGTACATCTCTTAATTTCTTTTAAACAAAAATGTTTTTTTATATGTACATGAATCTTGTCTTATATTCTTTTGGATGCAAACAGATATGCAGCTTATGTGTTCAATGGTTATAAATCAGACTTAAATTGGAACTGCAATGCAATCATGAAATATACCAATCCTTGTAAAGGATGTTCCCATTGTTATTCCAAAGAATTGTCTTATAATCAGTCTACAAATTTTAATAGAAGATGGTGGCATGCATTTCTGCCAAAGAAGCAAACATTTGTTCCTGGTAAAGAGTTTTTTGTAGAATTTTAGAATAATGAATTATTTTTGTGTATACATATAGTCTGTTTTTAAAATAAGATAATAAATAGACCAAATTAAAAATACAAACCGAAATATTCAGATAAATTTGAAGAATAAATTTTTTGCATTACATGTAGAGAAAGATAAAATATTTTAATAGCATCCTCTATCTTCTATATATAATTTTAACAGAAATGTATTATACAATCTCGATTTATTTCAGATAATCACGTTGATTATAGTAAAGTAGTAAATGAAGATTGTGGCACATTTTCTGAGATACCTATTTCAACAATTGAACTATGCATAACAACAGAAAATCTAATGAATGTACCAGTTCGATCAATACCTTCATTAAAGATAGCTTTAGGTGAATATAAATATTTTTATCTATATCATTCAAATTCGAAATTTAATCAGTATCAAAATTAAAAGTTTTTTGATTAATTTAGGCCCAAAAAATATTAGCTATACTACATTTGTTGAAAAAGGATGGAAACAAGAAATGGACAACGAATTACCAGTAAACACGATATTAGATGCAAAAAATATTGAATTATATCCTGAAATAGTAAGCAGTCTTTTTTTCTCAATAAATAATAATAAAATTGTTTTTATATAAATGCCGATCCATCTTAGAAAAATGCATATTAAAGATTTCAATTATTTTATCAGTTCACTTTTAAGATTTTAATAATAATGATTTTATTTCAGAATGAAAATCAAATGCTTTACATTGATTACGAGGAATACGAATTGAAGCCCATTCAAATTAAATTACTTCCACAATCAATAACAATATTTTGTCCTGAATTTAATAGATAACATATATACTTAATATATATATGTATATATGATTCCAACCATGTCGTGGTATTTAATATTCCATAATATATGCTATAACTTAATTATTTAAAAATAATAAAAAATAAAAATAGAACATATTGTTGATTAAAAAGAGAGTATCATGTAAAAAAAATATTTTTTTTTGTACAAAAAATAATTTATTATAACGTACAAAAAATATTTTGATTACAATGGTCATTAATATATTTTTAATTTGATATAATGACCGCTCAAGGTAATGCTTATATTAAAGATTTGATTACATCTCTAATAATTTAAGTATATTGTCTTTTCTTAAACTAATTCTTTAAAAGCTATGAAAGGTACATTATTGTGAGTAATACGTAATCGCTTTCAAAATTTTTACAACTTTTTGATGAGAGAATTTAATAAACGAAAAGACATTAATTTATAAAATGATAAAAGTATTTTTATTTTATAAAAAAAAGCTTCTTGTTTATTAAATGCGATTCCTTATCAGAAAGTTTTGATATAGTTTAGTAATAATAAGCACAGATGATGCCTCAGAGGATCTTTGATGTCAACTAAATTTAAAAATCCTTTTATGACAAGAGATATGGACAAATAAGACAATAATTTGTATATTAAAACTGGGATTTTTTTAATCATCTCTGTATTGTAAGATAAAAGATAAAGAGAGTTCCTTAAATTTAATTCATGAATTTATTTAATCAATATCTATTGTCATTTATCTTTTCAAGATATACTCGTTGATGGTATAATATTACTATTTTTTGAACAAGGATTCTCTTCGCAATCCTTACTCATAATTTTAAAAAAGTCTAATAAAGAGACACTTTTTGTCGGTTTTGTCACTTTTTGGGGCTCGGTTGATTGTGATCTCTTGGATCTTCTGGCACTGGGTGTCATTTGAGTTTTGGAATTGCACGAAGTTGATTCTGGAGTTTTGCTTTGTTCATATCTTTCTTTTCTAATTTTCGTCAACCAATCAACATTCTCCTTGTATTTTTGCGGTGATATCTCGAGCAAATGTGGTGCTGTACCGTCTATCACAAAATTCGGCAAGTTTAGCGTGGGTGAGAAAGGAGTTTCCTCATTCTTGTTTATGTACTGACTTGTACTAGGCTCATCTGAATCATAATCTCTACTCGAAGTAGCAGTAGTCTCGTTACTAGAGCTAAATAACCTTCGCATACCACGATTATCCATGTGAGCTCGTTTTGCAATAATTTCGTGATTTTCATGAATAGGGGATAAAATACATTTGTGTTTTCCCTCAGACCTCGAACCCATTGTCATTTGTAAATAACTACGTTTAAGAGGAATGTGTCTGTCTCTCTGATGATCTTCATTGCTAGATTCAGGAGTTGTAACTGTGGAATTTAAACATTGTTTAAAAATATAAAATTTACACTTGAGAAAGGGCTAGACAAAGGATTATTTCGTAATTTTTAAATCTTTTGACATTTTTTGGATAACATTAAAAAAATTCTTCTCATTAAAAATAATTTGATAAAAATTTTATAAAATGTGTCTTATTCCGAAGTTTCTTATGCACAAAATATTCATTATTTATAAATTATATAGCAGGATCATTTATAAATTATATAACAGCAATATTTTTAACATTACCTGAAGTATTATCTGAACCTGGTGTAGTTTCATAATTGATGAAGCATCGAGAAGTAGTTGGGGTAGTTTCTAGCTTCATATTTTCTAAATATTTTTCTACTACAACTTCAGCTTGACCACGTATTTCCGTTTCTTCGTTTTCTATTCTGTGTTCTAAGCCAACTCTCCATATTCTGTGGCAAGAGTCGTCGGAGCAAGTCACTATCTATAATTATTCTCAGAATTAGAAAACGATTGTATCATATGACTTTAAAAATATAGATTATAATCTACATTCTTCATAATTGCCAAATATAAGGAAGCATGATTTTAATTTATTCTGACATATATTATATATATTAAATAATATATAAATAATATATAAATAATATATATTTAGTATCGTGTTATTAATATATATTTAATACATAATTATATATTATTATTATTTGTATCATTTTATTGTATATATATATATATATTTATACATTATTAATAATTTTAATGTATATATATAATTATATATAATATATTATTTATATATTATTAATTATATATTATTGTTATATTATTATCATTTCATTATGATCTTTTATAAGTATAATATATGTAGTATAAGTGAAATATATGCATATATGAAATAAATAAGATTTATAAACAATTAAGAGATTTGAAACCTTAGGTTCGCCTATACTGCACCATGCAATACAAGTTACTTCTTCTGTATGGCCGAAAAGTTTAACTAATGGTACACCCGGTCTGTTGGTATGCCAAATATATGCCAGTTCATCACTGGATCCACTGGCAAGATAGCGGCCGTCAGAACTCAAACATGTCTTTACATAATATGTGCGATTTTGATGTCCATAATATTCTGCCACTAGCATAGAAAATTGTCGTTTTATTTTATTGAAATTGGAATATATATATATATATATATATATATATATATATATATATATATTGATATTGATATATTGATATATTGATATATATTTGAAAAAAAAAATATTAACCTGGTTTGTGATTATATGATGATATATTGTAAGCATATATAATGTTATCCATACAACTTGCATACAATGTAATTCTAGCTGGGCATATCAACAATGAAGAAAAACCATTCCTAGTACTATTTCCTCCATAATTCATCAGATGCTTGGCTATTGGTTCTTTCTTATGGACAGTATAATTCTTGCGCAAATCCCATACTTTTATTAAACTGAAGAATCAAAAGAGAAGATATGTTATATATTCTTGCACAGATATCTATAGGTATAAAGACAATCTTACCCATCACCTGCAGCACATGACAGTAATGTAAAATCATCTTGAAATACTAAACCGGTAATGCTTTGCGCTCGTGATGCTTGACTATGTACTTTTCGTCTTTTGCCTGTGTTACCAACACTGTGCGCATTGGCAATACAATTATCTGGCTTGGGTTGATCACTATGGTTAGCTCTAATATCCCATATCATAATAAAACCATCTCTAGCACCTGTTGCGAAAACCGCTGAAATTTTGAAGGATTTTGAAGAATTCTGAATTCCATGACATGTTATAATAGGTAGCAATCAAATATCTTTTATGCAAATAAATATTCTATGTTTTTTATGTTAAAAATAATAAATTTTAATTTTTATCTTATTAAGAAATTTTTATATGAAAATAAGATAAGAGACTATTAAGATATATCTCCATCCTTATTTGTAAAAACATACATTCCATATATATAAATTTATTAAGAATGTTTATAACTTCTTTTAAAAGGAATAAAATACCTTTGTCTTGATAACGGAACACTGCTGTTTTAACACTTCGCGTATGTGCATGAAAGTAATTAATCTGTTTTATTTCAGGCCTGGAGACATCCCATAAACGTGCCGTGTGATCTCCTGATGCTGTAACTAGTTTTAATTCCCCAGGCATCCATGCAATATCGAAGATCGCATTACAATGTGCCTTAAAGAATATATATTTTTGATTAACATTTCTGTACTCATACTGAAAAAAACGTATTCATTATATCTATTAATCAAAATAAACAACAACCTGTGTTCCTTCTAATGGCTGATTAACATATTCTTTATTATTAATTTTTATATCTTGAAGAGCGATTTTTCCATCTTCATTTGCTAAAGCGAGGACTTGCTCGTAACCCGGCGTGGTACAAAAACGACATGCAAATACTGGTGGTTCAGGATTATAATCAGGTGCATTTACATTCGGTGTTATTCCACGATAAACATCATTGTGATAGCATTTCAAACGATACAGTGCGATGTCATAATCATGCATTGAGCCTGCGACAACAAAAGTCAGATTTATTAAATAGAGAATTTTATTATATAGCGTATATTCTTACAATTAATAGCAAACTTTTTAAATAAAATCTAATCTTCAATCCTACGACCAATTCAATCGGCTAATCGCAATACAGATAACCTTTGTCTCTTTGCAAAATGTATATTTATTTTGAATCTTTCGTAAAAAACGCATGCATGCTTGTTCGCATTTACCAAATCCACTTTCTCGTCTCTGAATAGCATCTGTTATATTCATTTTGCATTGACATCAAGATTGTTTATACACATGATATTATATATACGCGGGAAACCTGTCAAATATTAACTTTGCTTGGGTTTATTTTCAAGTAATCCCTAAATATAACGTCGATATTACATTTGTCGTACGACAAATTTTTTAAGCACATTGATTGGCTGCGGGATAGAAAGTTTCTAAAGATTCAAAAAAATTATTATCCCGCAGCCAATCAATGTGCTTAAAAAATTTGTCGTACGACAAATGTAAAAGCCATTCTACAATGACCGTAGCATAAGGTTGTAAGGCGTAAGACTCAAAAAATTAATCAATCACAGTCGAGCATTCTCTTAATACTCGACTGTGATTGGTCAATTTCTTAAGGCTTAGGGCTTAAATTATCTATTGTAGACCTGGGGCCCTATTCTTGAAATCGTGCGAAAAATTATCGTATGCGAAAGTGACGCTGCGCGATCTTTGATTGGTGTATACTCTTAGATCTAAAAATATACACCAATCAAAGATCGCGCAGCGTCATTTTCGTATACGATAATTTTTCGTACGATTTCAAGAATAGGGCCCCTGCAGGGCTATTCTGCAACTTTTAACGTATGCGTTACGATATGGCTATCTTTTTCTTTCTTAATAAGTAAAAAAAAGACAAGTATATCATAACGCATGCGTTAAAAGTTACAGAATAGCCCTGCTGGCCTTAAAAGCCGGATCTATATTGATCGTATAGTAACGTCGCAAGTTGTAAACAAATTGACCAATCATGATTGATTATTTTTGAAATAATCGATATAGTTGGTCAATTTGCCAACGATTTACGACTTGCGACGTAACGATACGATCAATATAGATCCGGCTTAAGAGAATATCATGTGATTGGCTCTCAAACTAGTGTTCAAGACTCCAAAAATTCCCTATGAGTGGTATAACCAATTAAAATTCTCCATTTTGTATTACCAGAGAGAAGTCTTTCTCTCTGGTATTACCAATCATGCTTTTACTTGAAAACTCACCTTGAATTGATAATTTGGCGTTGAAGGCACCAACATCTGATCTTGAAATAAACTTCTTGTGCTCCGTCTGTGTTTCTTTTGTGTCTCTTTTGTTTATGCCCGAACAACTAGGCACGGGACTCAACAGAAAGATGGTGGTTACCGAGGACGATTCTCGTGACAGTGCGGAAGTAAATGTCACAGAAAATATGGATAATCATCAGCCTAACGTTGAATTAGTTCCAAGAACCGAACAAGATAACGACGAGAGAAATGTGCGTTTTTTTATTTTCACTTAACACTTATCATTTATTTCTTGACAGCCTTTTCCTTAAATCTCGAAAATGAAGACACATCACACATACACGTAATATACATAATTTTTTTCATGAAACGTGATATGTTATATACGTATGTGAAATAATATATATATATATATATATATATATATATATATAATATATATAAGTATGGATATTGAAATTCATTGAAAAATTATCATATTTTTTTATCTCACACACACACACACACATAAAAATATACATGTCGAACTATTTTCAAGGTTTTAATTATAATTCAAAAATATTTTTTGCAGGCAAATGCAGAAAATGATGAACAAAGAAGGAAAGCTCAGCCGTCACGTTTAGAATCGTTCTTCGCCATAACAAAATCGCTAATCATACGAGCCCTTATAATTTATTTTATTAGTAGCTTCTTCAGACGTCCTGATAATAATCCCAAGTCTCCCAATGGTGTTAGCGATACACGTTTACAAGCTGTAAATATATTTCCTAATGGAACATTGTTTGACCTTAGTGTTTATCTATCAGAATCTGAGAATTTTAAACAATTCAACGATCCACGGTCATTGATTTGGTTTGAAGAAGGTCTGATTTATGGAGATTGGTATAGTGGACCAAATCAAGATGGGTCTAGAATTTTCGAGTACTCCTTTATTCCTTCAGAACGTTTAAAACAAAATGGCTCTATTTATCTTCATATATATATAACAAAAAGTGGAAAATCGCCAAATCCCAAAGCTGGCAAGGGAATTTATGGTGGTGATTATATATCTTACTCGAGAAAAATGTTAAATAAGTTTAAAAAAATTAGATATCAAAAAAGGCACAATTTATTAACTGGTGAAACTACTGCTAGTAAAGAGGAAATAGCAGTATGTATATTTTAATTTTTAAAATATCTATTCTTATTTTATGTAAATTGTATTATGTATGTCAACTGTATATAAAATTTTGTAGAAAGCTGAATTAATGAATCAAGAATATGTGTCGCACTGGCATCCAAATTTAACTGTTAATTTAGTGATTGATCAAACAAATTGGGTGTATGGTCAAGTACCGCAACCATTGGATGAATGTGAGAGAATTTATGTTTATGTTTATACAAAAATATGTTAAAAATCTTTGCATATTATTATTCTTTTATTTTAGATGTACATTTCTTACCTGGTGGAAATGCATATAAGCCAATAATTTATATGAATGATTTCTGGAACATGCAACGGGATTACCAACCACTGAATAATACTATAGAACAATTGGAACTCAGATTGACTTATCAACCACTTTCATTATTTAAGTGGCAAATTTATGCAGCACAGTCTGTTCGAAATAAATGGACATCATCAATTATGGGTTTGTTAAATTTTTAATAATATAATGATAATAAGACATAGAATTTTACCACATGAAAATTTTATCTATTATTATTGCTTATTTAGGAGAAACATCTGATGAGGATGATAATGATCAAGATACTTTGAAGGAAACCTTACTAGAAACAAATCCATATCTATTAGGAATGACTATAATTGTATCAGTTTTACATAGTGTATTTGAATTTTTAGCATTTAAGAATGGTAAGTAGTTTAAAAAAATTATCTTGCTTTCTACATTTATAACAAATAATAAAAATATATTTGCAATAACTGTAATGTAAAACTTTGTTTTTTTTAGATATTCAATTTTGGAACAATCGAAAATCCTTAGAAGGTTTATCCGTTCGCTCCGTATTTTTCAATGTATTCCAATCTCTCGTAGTTCTTCTTTATGTTCTGGACAACGAGACAAACACAGTTGTGCGCATCAGCTGTGCAATAGGTTTATGCATCGAAGTATGGAAGATAAACAAAGTTATAGACATTAACGTCAATAGAGAAATGAGAGTACTTGGAATCTTTCCAAAGATATCATTCCAAGATAAGGGATCATATGTGGAGTCTTCTACAAAAGAATATGATAGACTTGCCTTTAAATATCTTTCATGGGCTTTGTATCCTCTGTTAGGTGGATACGCGATTTATTCTTTAATGTACTTGGAACATAAGGGATGGTATTCTTGGATCCTCAGTATGTTATACGGATTTCTTTATTATCTTTCATGGGCTTTGTATCCTCTGTTAGGTGGATACGCCGATTTATTCTTCATACTAAGATGTCATTCGTATGATGTCTAAAATGAACATTTATCGGTTTTTTTTTTGTATTGGTTTACGCTCGGTTGCTTCCGCGACGATATTGTTTTCTGTATATTTTTGTACCAAAGATGGATATACAAGACCGATCATTCTAGAGTAAATGAATTCGGTTTTTCCGGAGAGATGGAAACGCAACTGGCGGAAAGTAAGAAACAAGTAGCAATCACCAATCGCTCGAAAGATGAGGTAGCGAAAAAGAATGAATAATATTTGTGGTATTTAAGTTTAGCATCGATATACGCATACGTTATATCTTACATTGTTTCCGAGAATTAATAAAATTATCCGATACCAAAGGAATATAATTACACACATTTACATTTATTTATACAATTTCCGCATATATTGTGTGTGTATATGTATATTTTACTAAAGTATTCCCAAATCGACCACATGCATACCGCGATGTGCATTGTGAAGGAAAATAGTAAACAATTTCTGTTGAAAACGTCTCAATTTTTTTTCGACCCAAATTTATGTACAAAGATATTATGAAGAGGTCAAATTTATCATGTATATCATATAATCTTATGTAAGAAATTGTAAATGTAGATTGTATGCTCAGTAACATTTATGACATTCGTGTAAATGTCTAATTGTAAAGTGAATATTTACAACTGAATATACTACAGCGAAAAATGTCGTCCCATCAGATATTTAACAAAACACACATGAAAACCCAATATGAATATGAATGATTTCAGATAATGTTAGTATTCGTATTATCGAGCGAGATGTTGCTCTATGAAATAAAAAAGTTTAATATTATCATACATTTTGTGTATTTGAACTTCTTTGGATGAACGTTTTTAGATATAACAGGTAAAAATTCTATATTCGTATCCTTTTTATTATAACGCGTCGCGATGTTTTATAAAAATACACAAAAATTCAGCTATTTTTAAAAGCATCGAATTTTGGAGATCTTGAGATTGTAAGATCATAAGATTGTATTTATTACTATTATATATATATATATATTGATATTAATATTACAAATACATTAAATGTGTTTAACATTATATTTCGTAAGAATAATTGTATAATTAAATTATTGACTTACGTCTCTATTTTGGACAATATACATTTGTTATATATGCATTTATTACATATGTAGATACTTGTTTCTAAAGTTGATTTATAACGTAGTTATTCGTGAGCATCATCGCAAGCAAATGTGCGATGTAAAGTTTTAATAATACGGTTCCTCGAGTTAAATTATTTATACCTGACCGTATGAGAATATTGACATTCTGCAGAAAATAAAGAAAGAAATAGCGATTCGCTATTTTCCATATTGTAACGTGATATGGGGATGTTTAGAGATTGGATAAAAATTATCGTTTATATAATAAATATATCCTCTTAATTGTTATTTTACTATTAACCTCGCGACAAATTGTAAATTTATGTAGAACATGTGTTCAAGAAGTATATACATATGCTTAAAATTGAAGAATATTGTTTTTAATTTGGAGTAAAATTTACTTTTACGTTATCGATAGGAAAACTCACACAACATACCAACAACGAATATAATATTTATTCGAACCTATATTTATAAGTTTCAAATTTTAAATCAAGCCTATCTTTCTTTGTATTATTTTTCTTTGTATCATTTTTCTGCGCGAACGCCAAACACAACAAATAAAAAAAAGTTATCTTTTGTTAATTTGCATGAGTTAAAGAATTTTATGTAAATTTTTTTTATCAGAGTAGATATATATAAAAAAAATAGAAGAACTTTTAAAGTAAGAATTGATATTTTCCGGATTTATGTTTATATTATGAATACGTCAGAATTTCCTTTCTATTCTTTTTCTTTTTTTTTATAAAAAGGCACTTTTTACATTCATGTAATATGCTGCTATAAGAAAGTTTTCTTGTGTACAAGCATAGAATCTTTTCACGTTTCCCGGCTATTTATATTTAATATTATATATATATATATATATATATATATATATATATATATATATCCCAGGTAGCAGAGTAACGTTAAATGACATCTTAATAACGTTTCAATGACGTCATTGTACATTATTAAGACGTCTGGAGACGTCATCTTGCTACCTGGGTATGTGTGTGTGTGTGTGTATCATATAATGAAGAAAAATTATAGTTTAAAAATTGAAACTATTATATAGAAATACCGTTTATGTATTTTTTTTTATTTTAATATTTATATTACCAAATAGCAATAAAATACTGAAAATATATTAATAAATGACAATAAAAAATTAAAAATTTATATATACCGAAATGTGAATTTTAGCAGATATATATCGGAATATATTGATTTAAATATACTGAATGCGAAAATAAAGATGTATAATTATTGCTATATGTGTTCAAAATATAACAATGTGCTGGAAAAAAATTTAATTAAAGCTGGAAATACTTAAAAGAAAATTTAAAGATGTAAATACTTCTTAATAACTTCTTTAAATAAAAAATTACAAATATTTTAATGTAGTTTAATGCATACATTTAATAAAGGAAATAATAACGCAAAAATTTAGCGTTTTCTCTTCGCAATATGAAATCGCAATAGAAAATAATTAATCGCAATAGAAAATAATTAATCTATAATTCTTTCAAGTTAGATCTTTAACTTAAGTAACTTTAATTTTAATCTTTAAATGTCGAAATAATGAAATAAAATTTGTATCTGAAATGAGATAATATATAGCAATATTAGACTCAAAAAAGATAATTGCGATACTTCATTGTATTATCTAAAATTTTATAGATCGCAAAAAATTTTTACAGATTTTTAATTTTCATTAGATATTGGAGGAAAGTTTTCAACAGTGATAAAAAATATTTCATATAAAGATATCATCGCAAAACCAAATAGCCAAAATTTCATAAAACTACAAAACTTGTAATATCAGACAAAAATATATAAACCGACAATGCATGTCACTTTTATCAATGACGTGTGCGCAATAAACTATATAATGAACTTAATAAATTTGCGAATATTGCTATTTAAATTTACCACAATATTTTATAGTAGTCTGGTACAGTTCTGCCGAATCTTTATGCTATAATTTGTGAAAAAGGCTTATAGCACTATATAATATGTAATTAATATACTGGTGAAATTTGTATTGCATATATAATGGCTTTTATATCATATCTAACACGCTTATCATTAGACAAATACTACTTTCTTCCTGTTATAATCTTAATCAAGTTATCGCTTTTTTAAGGACGATGCAAATTTTTTATATTCTTTCACAAATATTAAATTATATCCTATTATATTCATGGTTTTCCTGCTAAATAAGATTTTAATTATAGCGATTATAGAGAGAATATTTTTTTAATAATCATCTCATTTTCAGCAGCCTCTTTTACAAATAAAATAACAAATACAAAGCAAATATGTTTTTATAATGTAATATTAATACTTTCAAAAATATTTAATAATCTAATATAATAATAAAGACTAAGGAGTTTTAAAAATACTATCTAAACACCTAATACATACATATACATGATCGATTATTATATAAAATTATAAGGAGTTTAAAATCACTGGTTAAAATATAATTTACTTATGAATGTCAACAAACTGTTGAAAGTAAACAAAATATGCAGGAAATTAGCTTCATTTGTGTAGAAATCTTCGATAAATGTGATTTTTCTCTCTACTCTTTGTAAAATAGGCACAGAGAGAGATGTCATTTAACTATATTTTGGATAATAATAAACACGAAACTTTATAAAGAGATAAGAATATATACAGTAAAATATAATGTTGCCTTACTGTTCTAGATACTTGCTCTAGATACTGTGCTGCATACAAAATGTATGCTGAATTAAAATTGCTATTTTTAACGGCATTGTTCGCTTTAATAAGCGATTTATAAAAATAAGATATTACATCATTATACATAAATGGTACTGAACTCTGGCTTAAAATTAACTTGTACAAGTTTTCTTCTATTAGGATAGATAAGTAGATAGGCATATATAGCAAATATTGGATTAATATACATTTCGTCTTGATCTATATCACATTGTGTGATGTAACAAAGTGAAAATAAATTATTGCGACTGATTGTCATATGTTAAAAAAGATGAAAATAAAAATGCATTGTTTTTAATGAAAAATATAATCTATGAAAAAAATTCATGTGCATTCCATCTAGAAAATACATTCTAAATATTATTAGAACAGCAATTATATTTTCAGGCTCGCGATTTAAAGTGATGCATTACTTGGAGCACACTTGATTAACTCGTTATCTTTTTTTGTTTTTAAGTGAACATGGACTTTTATTGATCACTCATATATATTTGTATCGAGTGTTACTAATAATGAAAATTATTAGTAAGGAATACACAATTTAAAATCCGGAAGTTGTCAGGTGTGAAATCTTTATAATTTTCAAATGTTTTAAAAACTAAAAAATTCTAACAAATTTCGATTAATCTCTTGTATATAAATATTGTTTTAATAAATTAGTGTTGTTTGCGTTAAAAATTATTTAAAACTACTGTACTTTATAAATATATTTCTTTCATATAATATTAATCATTATTCAAATAATTATTTTGAGAAATCTGAAAATCTAATATTTTCGTGAAATTGTTATTTTTATTTTAAATTGTAAATATTCCTTGAAGGAGAGAAATATAGTATAGGAAGAAAAGCTGATAAAAAATAATTTAGTCTACTCTAGTCTACTCTTGATAAAAAATAATTTAGTCATACTCTATTGATCAAAATGCTAACATATTTATCATGTTGAAGTCCACCCGACTACTGTCCGGTTTAAATTTTGAGATAATCAGTTTACAAATGAAGTGTGTCGCATTGCTTATTTTGTGATGAAAGACACTACAAAACTTATTCTAGAATGTAAAGAGTTTGATAATCCACAATACAATCAGGAAGAATAATTCCTCATCATAAAATAAGATCTAGCGACAATTTTGATGAAGAATTAATGGTATTGCATCGTCGATTACGCCAAACGTTTTCCACTTTTTTTCTCTTCTTTGCATAGAAATATTTTACTATTTTACAAATTAATCTGTATATTAAGGCTATGCGTTGTTTGTTCTATACGGCTTTTGTTTTCTTTGACGTTGGCTCACGAAAGATATATAGCTGCTACAAAAAATCATTATGATATACATTTCAAGCAGCTAGACCTGCATCTTTAGCCATACTGTAGAAAGAACTAGATGGATTGCGAAGTAACTTTTCTGGAGAATCATATTCGACAATCAGACCTTTATCTAGCACAATCACCCTGAAATTTTTATTATTTGTAACATAGGCTATCGATAAAATATTTTTGTGATTTTAATTATCTTTAATATAATATAAAAGAAATAGCCAAAGTAGAGACCATTAAATAAGAAGTAATAGAAAGTAATGTTGAGATAACTTAACACATACCTGTCTGAATCTAGAATAGTGTTAAGTCTATGAGCTATTGTAAGAACTGTACAATCCTTAAATTCTTGGCGGATGGTAGTCTGAATCAAATCATCTGTTTCTAAATCAACCGCGGCTGTTGCCTCATCTAATACGAGAACCTTCGTTTTTCTAAGTAACGCTCTCGCCAAACAAATCAATTGTCGCTGCCCTACACTTAAATTCTCCCCGCCTTCAGAAACCTCGTGTAAAAGAGTATTTGGCAAGTCTGAAATAAAATGTTAAATAGATTAGCTTTTAACGAAATTTTGTCGAAAATATTCTAAAGATTCGCTAAAAACTACAACATACTTTTTACAAATGATTTTAGATGAGCGTGTTCCAACGCTGTCCAAATCTCGTCATCGGAATAGCAAACAAAAGGATCTAGGTTCATTCTCAGTGTTCCAGAAAACAATACGGGATCCTGTGGGATAATGGTCAATCTTGAGCGTAGATCATGAAGACCCATTTTAGAGATATCAATATCATCGATTAAGATTTTCCCATGAGCTGCCTCGATTATTCTGAAGAGCGAGAGAGTCAAAGATGATTTTCCGGCGCCAGTTCTGCCCACAATACCGATCTTCTCACCGCCGTGTACGCCGAAAGTCAAACCGTGCAGCACGAGCTCCAATCCCTCCCTGTAACGAACTTTAAAATCCTTGAAGTCGACACGACCTTGCTTAGGCCAATCTTGTGGAGGTGTATAGTCCGCATTTTTCCATGGTGCTTCCTGTTCCGTTTCTCCATATTCTTTTATTCTCTCTACTGCGACAATATTGGTTTCAACATCGGATGTCATGCGTACCAGCCAGTTCAAAGTCTGAGTAATCTAACGTAACAAGCATAAGACATGAATCTTTGTTCATAAAATATTTAATACACGTAACAGCTATTTCCATTTATAGAAACTTTAAGCTTTTGATTCTTTAAGATTTTAATTTATTAATTTAGTCGTATTTAACGTTGCATTACATGTAAATATATATATATATATATATATATATATATATATATATATATAATTAAAAATCATTGTATACAAGTCTCCCAAAAGCCAAATCTCCTTAAATCAACTTTTATCAACTTTTGATAATTTTGACATCAGAGCATATGATTAATACTATGGTATTACAATTAAGAAATTTATAAAAAATGAAGTTGAATAATGTCAATATTTAAGATATCGATTAGTGATATGTTACTTACTTGTAAGGCATAGCTGACTGATAGACCGACAAGTCCTGAACTCATAGTATTCCTACCCAAAACAGCAAACAATGCTGCGAAGAATATAATTAAATTTCCCACCATTTCCAGTCTTACAGCCAACCATCTATATCAATATTATTTTAATTAATAATTATAGAAAAAAATACAATATCATTTTATATCAATGTACATACCTATTTGCAATAATACTAGGATAATAACACACTTGATTGAAGTCTACTCTATTTTCAGACTCGCGAATAAATTGTTCTTGCACGCCATATGCTCTAATTAATTGTGCTCCTAACAATAAAATAAATAGATTACTTTTGAATGTTGGAAACAAAGATAAGCAATATATTGTAAAGTGTGTGTATATATATAAAATTTTAAGAACATACCAGTCACTGATTCACTAAAATGCGAATATATAGGAGATCTTGATACAGACTCTAATCGTTTTAATTGTCGCGATGTCGCAACATAAAAACGTTGAATGAAATAATAAACTGCGCCTACTGGCAATATCACCACGATAAATATAGGTGTACTATAGCTTATAACAAAGAGAGTGGCTATGACCTGTAATATATGTACTATTAATAACACTGAAAAAATACATTCTTAATTTTCGTAAAATACACAATGTAAGATACAACATACCTATATATAATACAAATTAATCAGAATAAAAAAAAAATATTTAAAATGCATGTAATTAAATGATAGAATATGATTGAATAAATCATTTCTGTAAGAAAAATGTAAATAAAGAAATGATAATCACATGCAAAAACTTGTGGCAGAAGCACTCGTGTTTTTTTTTATAAATACCAGTTGTAGAAAAAAAAAGATAAATTGACAAAACGTCTCATAGGCCCACCAACATGTATAACGAATATGATTATATTGCTATGCATTAGACAAATACAAATATAAGTACATATATAAATATTAGCATAAAAAATGTATTTCTTTTCTCTAGTCATGATACTTTGTTAAAATATCTTCTATTAGCATAGTAATTCATCAGTTGCAATCTATAAAAATGGACACAATTATACTTAAGCTCTGTAGCACAGATTACTTCATGTATATTTTGTATGTCTGTATTTAAATTTTTCACTAGTTTTTAAAGCTAGTGAAAGTGTTTCAGATATCTAGTGTACAATATACTAACACCATCATTGTTCAGAAGCATTTTTTAACAAATTATATATTTGATCGCAACCTAAGATGTCCTCTACATGGTGGAAAATGAATATAAAAGTGAATAATACGGAATCGATGAAGTTGAGAAGATAAATGAGAAAGCAATGATAAGAATCCCACAACCAGGCTATTCTCTGCACATTACGAAGAGATTACCTCAAACAAGCAATAGATGGTATCAGAAATTTGTGCAGGAAGAGATGTATCCAGTATGTCCACGTCTTTAGCAAACCTGGAGATAATACGACCAATAGGAGTCGTATCAAAGAAGGTCAATGGAGCACGCATCACAGCACGCAGCATCATTATGTGCATCTGACGAGCAGCCAACCAACAGCCCAGCTGCGGTGCCAAATCGCAGAAAAAGCTCGCCATCGCTACAACATCAGACATGGATGACTTTCACTGTAACCGCATGTTTTTTGATACGACTTGTGAAACATACAAATCGATTAATGAACATTAATCAATCAAAATTTCATAAGCAGATGTATGTGCTAAACGAGATATATTATACGCATACTAAAAATAATTTCCTCTTTCACGCGTGCGGTTTTTTTATATATTAAATTTTTTGTATCCATTTAAATGGTATTTTTAGACGAATCGTTACATTTAATAAATTATACATTACAGAATAATCAAGAATAATCTAATAAGAAATAAAAAATTTATATAATTATTTTATTGCTCGATATTCAAATGTATTTGCAATCGAGCAATATTTGCATATGAGCTTAAACTACTGCTTTTGTCTCATGTTATGCGAAGGTGTGAAGTTTGCTGTGACACCAGACATATAATAATAGGAAATATAAATAAAAAATCTCATGTACCCAGAAGGCAAAACCGCAATTATAAGGATGTTACACAAGCAAATATAGAATAAGCATTATCAAGCACAGGCAAGACCATTTCTGTACACAAATATTATTGGTATAATTGTGTCCATTCGTCGATCACTACGTGATTATACCATAATAACACATAATAATTATACAAATTAATTATGAAGAAGATGAAGAAAGATTTAAAAAAATAACAATGTAATCTTCCAACACCATAACTGAAAAAACTCAATACTGAAAAAATAAAATAAAATAAATTCAACATATGAATATAAAACATAATACATGAATATAAAACAATTTTGTTGGACTTTGCAAAGCGATATAGAATTGATGATTTTTGAAGCAAAATTCTATCTTAAGCGACATTAAAAAATATTATTATGTAATAATAATATCTCTGAATTATCAGATTCAAAACACTAATGTGCGTTAATAATAAACGAAAATGAACATTATCAATGTTAACATTGATGTTAATATTCCAAGAAGAAGACGAACATTAGGACATCCTGAAGCCTATTATCATATTTTTGAAATGGTGAAACATTATTTATACACATCATAAATTAACGTTTGATCAATGAATTTTGCGATATTATGAAATAGGCAATGTAATAAAATCCAGTAGCAACACATTCATGTTCCATTGAATAATAAATTTCATTACGTCTTTATAAAATATTCAAGAATAAAATAGTCAGTCTTTTCATAAAAAAAATATTTGTTCCTTAAATATTTTGTGTATATTTCTCTATAGATATTTCTTTATAAATTTTTTTACAAACTAAAAATTAATCAAATGATCAAAAATGAAATATGTTAAAATTGTAAAAAAATCAATTGTTAATCGATTTGATAAACAAATAGAGGTATGTTTTTTTCATTAAAATTCTTCACTCCAAATATATATTTGAAAAAATGAATATTAGATTTTATGACGAATTTACAAAATAAAATCAAATTGAAGAAGTAAACAATTATTATAGAGTACGTCGTTATCTAATTGGTTAAACGTACAAACGCATAGGTAAACCGCTCAAATGTTATTTGATATGACTTGCAGCCAAATAAGCACCATTTTGAGGATACTTCTTATGCCTTTTGTGTTCATGTACTCGTTGATCCACTATATTGATTGTGGTGACAAGTTTTATATATAAAGTAACATACTCGTGCCTACATACATTTAGTTGACAAGCTAACGAATATTATTATGGTCTTGCTGTTTTTCCTAAAATTTGAAGCTTTGTTATTTAATCGAGATAATTCCTCTCAATCATTTGATTTTTTTTAAGAAAAAAAAATCAGATGCAAGTTAAAAAAAGTATACGTATTTACGGATCCATATTTTTTCAATTACATTTCCGCATCTCTTAAATGTTTAGAACATTTATATAATTTTATCCGAGAAAAAAAAAACAGAATTTTTATTTTAAATTAACTTTATCATTATGACTTTATTTTAAATTATCAAATAATATGAAATGAAAGCATATGAAATATATTATCAGAATAAAACGCGAATCATTTGTCAATGTAATAAAAAATAACGTATAGAAACACTTCTCCTATATATGTAAAATTATTAAAACAATACATGATTAAATAAAGAGATATGAAGCAAATGTAACAAATATTCGTTCGACAGTAAGAAAGACAATTAACATTAATCCATCAACAATGATCAAAAATCTTATTTATGCATGTAATACTGTGCGTAGTTATATGAAAATATCATACCCCAAAAAGAAAATTCATCCAATTACGTAGGTAATTCGGTAGAGCATTGTCAACAATATCAATATCTTTACCAAGCCGACTAAGAATTCGACCAGTCGGAGTTGTGTCAAAAAATGACATTGGATTGCGAAGAACGTGTTGCATTGTATTCTGGAAGATATGACTAGAAGCGATTGTCGTCCCTTTAGCCAGGAATATCCCCATTGTGAATATCGACACGCCTACAACGATCACGGTGATCAACTTTGATTTATCGGATAAAATAGATTATATACTGATATTTTTGTTTTCGATTAATACATCATTGATGTCGTTTTCGAATAAATGAGAGATATTAATCCTTTATATAATCGGCAATGTTCATTTTCATAGTTGCTCATCACTCGCCTAATTCCATATGCAAGTTCCTCACTGCAGTCACACATTAATTGAGGTGTAATATAATTAAAGAAAGAAACAATATATAAATAAATATATATATATATATATGCAGAAAAATGTATAATAATAAGAAAATAAAAGAAAGAAATCGTAGAAAAGATTATATAAAATTGTACTGTGAAAAAACATTTAATATTACTAAGCATGCAATTATATATATTAATTTATTAACTCTATAATGCGCTCCTAATGGTCATCTATCGATCGCTAATGAATACTCTAATGAAGAATAGAAATTGGAAGAAGATCACTTATAAAAGCTATCTTTAATTCGTCGATGCTAGTTAATCATATTTGTATCGATTGGTGGACCAGTGATTCTGCCTATGCTATACATTGAATTACGTGTGAGATATACACAAAGAAAGATTAAAAACTAAATTCTCGCATACCGATGCTAGACAAAACAACCAAGCTCTAATACTTGGAGGTAAAATGTTGTCTATTATATCAATGTCCTTTCCCAAACGGTTTAATATTCTGCCTGATGGTGTAGTGTCAAAGAATCCTAGAGGTGATCGTAGTATGCTGAACAATAACTCTGAATGCAAAAGTTTACTGCTCTGCAGACATCCGAAAACCAACGCTGTCTGCGACAGTACTACAAAAATGGCTGAAATTTAATGTAAAGTTGATTTAAAAATGTGACATTTAATCATATTCATATTTTATCTTTTTTAAAAATCTTTTCTGTATTGATTTGCTGATAACCCTATAAGAAAAAAAATTACTTTTATGCATTTTTTATTCTGTTAGCAATTAACTTATTAATGCATATAATTGTTACACACATTGTTAAATTTGTTTTTCGTAAATAGAAATATACATTAGAAATATATATATATATATATATATATATATATATATATACATATTAGTTATATTAATAGTTATATTAATATGGCATTAATGCAATATATATTAATATGGCAGAAATGTTATTACATTAATATAGCATTAATCATTAACGCTGTTAATGTATTAATAACAAAACCAAAAGCAAATTCAGCTAGATTGAAACTTAGAAAAAATTTGCAGCATATTCCAGATATGTCTTATATATTTAGTTTTAAATTTAATTTCATATTTTGCTCGGTTTGCAATGATATACAATCGTTTTACGTCAATATTAGATATAAATATATCAAAAAATATATATGAACGAATATGTGTTACACGAATTAATAAAAAATATATATACTCAATTCTTTCAAATTGAGTATATTGATTTTCATTAATACAATATGTATATTAAATAATCCGAGTGCGTAATTTAAGATGTGCGAATGTATGTTCCTGAATAGAATAAAAATCGAAATGCATCGAATTAATAAAGAGTATCACTCGAATTAAAGAGAAAAACGATAAGAAAACAACCAACAAATGACATATGTCTCAAATCTCCACTTGTGGTCTTCTAAATTATACGTTAACTATGCTTAATGTCATTTGTTCTAATTTACACGCAATTACTTGATCAGGAAATCAGTGCAAATTTTGTGTAAGAATTGAATAAGAATTTTTTTGTGTTATTTATATTACACAATTTGTTCCCTATAATTTTAAGAATTAAAATATCCCGTATGATTAAAAATTTTTAAACGTATATATATTCAAATAGTCGATTTAATCCATACAGACTGATTTCCCGTGTTTATTACTTTACGACACATTAATGTTAGGAAGCTTTCTTCTCTTTTTCAACTTCATGCTTGCATTATATAAAACATATTATTATTTAATTATCTGCATTTCTTTTATTTCCAAAATAAACTCTAAATTTAAAGCAATAGATCATGATTTCATCATGATTTATAGTTTATTATCGATGTTTATGAATGAAATCGATAAAAAACAAAGAAAATTTTTTCTTATCTCTTTTAGGACCGTAAAAAATCACAAAAGAAAGGCATATACAAATACATCACATTCATTGAATGTACTATTCTAAGTATGCATTAATCAATAATTTTTCTGTGCTATTCTTCGTTCATATAATTATTAAACATAAATTTTTTTCGCGTAAAAAGAATAAATTAGAGAAAAACTTCTTTCAAAAAATAAAGTAACAAAAGATGCAAATTGCATCTACATTTCAAATGAAAAAGTTTTTCATGCAATAATAAGGAAGCGATCATTCGAAAAATTATCACTACAACACTTGCAATCAAAAACATATGGCTATTGAAAAGTTTTTATCTCAAATTAGCTCTCGAATATTTTATTAATATATTACAGCAGAGTAGACACAGCAAACCGCACTTATTTTGGTTTCTTAAAAAATCTGAATAATTTTTAAAATTTAACATGTGTGTAAAATACATTCGCAAAAATAACTCGGGACAAAAAATCTCGTATTGTAACTAGCGTTAGTAACTAAATCATAATCGAAGTTTTTATTATTTATAATAAATATAGTTTATATATATTTAAATTTATTAAAAATTAAGCTTAACAGAGTTTTAGAGATCTATAAAGAAAACTATGTTAAAAGTAATAACCCCAATGATGTGTAATCTGTGAGGGAACATGCCTTTCAAATCACTATATACTATGACGAGCAAAATTAAGTGCCATTATTGAAATTGCCTATATTGAACGAAGTAATTGCCGTCTGCGATAAAGAAGGAATATTTATACAAATACACGTAGCAACGGCAGGGATAAGCTTACCTGAATACCGAAAACGTTCTTTATAGAATGCTTTCTATTTTACGCTACAAAAGTTTCAAAGTGTTTCAATCAAAACGAAAAGATCAAAAATTTTTTTCCTTTGCTTGATTTATCATACGATTCGAAACTTTTATTGCGTGAAACGGAATGCACTCACATAAACGCGAATTTTAAACAATAATTAATCGGATCTGCCAAATAGACAAGATGTTACAAAGATTAATATATTATACAGAGAGCAAAAGGGAGGGAGGGAGAGAGAGAGAGAGAGAGAGAGAGAGAGAGAGAGAGAGAGAGAGAGAGAGAGAGAGAGAGAGAGAAAGAGAGAGAAAAAGAGAGAAGGAGGAAAGAGAAAGAGAGAGAAAAAGAAAAACATACCTTGTCCGAAACCAAGCACACCATATATTCCGAGGTACATGTCCCGTGTTGGTGTATCAATTGTGCCGTTCGGGAGGGTCAAATTATCGTTCGACCAACGGCTGAGCCAAATATTCGAACCGATGCTGAATGCTTGAAAAATTGCATTCATCACGATCGTTGATATTGATAAAAACCATCCAATAGATTGTAAATAGTGAGAATACACTTTCCATTTCACCTTATGGAGAAATATGATATATAAGTATAAAAATAATTTTTTTTCCATGGAAAATATAAATTGTTTCATATATATATATATATATATATATATATATATATATATATATGATGTGTGTGTGTGTGTGTGTGTGTGTGTGTGTGTGTGAAACAAAATATATCTCATACATATATATATTCTTCTAAAAATTAACAGAATACATACACTTCCAGTTTCCGCTTTTTCGACTTCTATCAGTTTCTCTCCAGTATTATTAGGTTTCGATGTTTCTTTTTCCTTTGTGCTGTTGCTATGCATGTAATTTGTCGATTGTTGACTTTCTGTTGAATATTGCCTATTCACGCATCCATAATAAGCATTATTTAATTAAACGTAATTCCCATTATTATGCATTATTAACGAAATACGTTTGAAATTATACCTTTTTAGAGAACCATTGAGTGATTTTCTATCAGTCTTATCGGTCATAGAACCAGATTCACTTAAACTTTCGGACATTCTTGATCGTACTCGAGTTAACTTGTGTTGCAATTCGTCCGCTCCGATTGTTGATTCAAGCTGTTGTTTAATTTCATGTAAATCTTCTTCGGAACCATCATGAACGTGCACTGTTTCAAATTCGTCATATTGATCTTAGAATATTGACAAATTTCACTCACATATAGGATGTTTTAATATTGTTAATGGGAAAAAATTAACGAAATAGCCATGCATATTTTTTTAAATACAAAATTAGAATCTAAGAATTTAGGATTTACGAAGATTTGAATAAATATTTGGATTAAATTATCTCATGAATGTCATCTATGTATATTTAAAATTAAAGTTTCAAACATTTCAGTTTATTTATTTATGTTCAAAAATAAAATTTCAAACCTTTCAATTTAATAACTTGAGAAAATTTTATTATAAACACTGGGAGTGGAAAGTATTTATATATTAAAGAATCTTTTAACTTTTAATAAAATGCACGCAACATGCATTAAAAAATGTCATTTTGTCAAAGCTTTTTTTCCATTTGTATCAAATTATAATTTTACATTGACAACTACTTATTAATTAATTAATTAATTAATTATAAATGAATAATAATTGTTACTGTTTTGGCCACAAATGTTTAAGACACAAAAGACTTTTTGATTTAATAAAGTATTTCATTAACAACAATCTAATACTAGAAGCGAATATGACAGCGATTATTTCTTATGCAAGCATATATAAAATAGAAAACAGGAATTGTAATTACTTTTTCGCGGACTTACGATTTCCAACTTAGATCCATGAAAGAAAAGTATACAATAAATTTTATAATAGATATGAGAAAAATACGCGTAATAAATTGAATTATTATTAATAGATACCGTCTTGTAAGTGATGTACTAAAAATTCGGCGAAAGCGCCCTTTCTCTCCAGTAATTGCTTATAAGTTCCAGTCTCCGTTATCACGCCATCATTAAGAACAATAATGTTGTCGACTTCCGGCAGATACGTGATGCTATGTGTAACAAGTATTCTTGTTTTTTTCTTCAACAGACCGTTCGGACCTATCACATTCTCAAAAATGTGTTTCCCTACATGAGAATCTACCGCGCTTAAAGGATCATCTAAGAAATAATTTTCCGAATCGTTATATACAGCTCTGGCTAAGGCTACTCTCTGCTTTTGACCGCCAGACAGATTTATGCCTTTCTCTCCGATCTCTGTTTGATCACCCGCAGGTAACATCTTGAGATCCGGACTTAATGCACATCCTTCAATTATGCGATTATATACAGATTTATTCAAGGCTTTTCCGAATAAAACATTATCCTGTAACGTGGCATTTTGTATCCACGGTTGCTGAGAAACGTATGCAATCGAGCCCTACAAGCGAAAAGTATTTGAAGTGAATCTTTAAATTCCTATGTCTATTCTCATTTATTTAATTAGAGATGTACAAAAACACAATCAATTTCCGCGATTTTATTTTATCTGCATTAAAATTAATACATTTTCATCTATATTTTATTTCTAAAAAACAAAAGTATGAAATAAAATATTCATTTATGAAATTATATTTCTAATACTTCATATTTGAAGACTTTTATTAAATTATTTATGCAAATGTGAACTTTTTATTTTACTATAATTTTTACAAAATCAAAGAAATGTATGTGCGCATATTTTTTGCTTCTATCATATTTTATATTTATAATTTAACAAAACAATATACTCACTTTTGTGTTTACTTTTCCATTTAATTTCTCCATCTCGCCAAGCAGAGCAGATAGAAGAGAACTCTTGCCTGATCCTACTGTACCAACTATTGCTACTAATTGACCTTGTTCTGCATGGAAATTGATATTTTGCAGTATTGGTCTCTCAACTGGATCATTGTCCCAAGAGAAGTTACCATTCTCAATTACTAACGGATGTGCTAAATCAATATGATACAATGTATATTACTACAAACATATTATATAAATGATATACATAAAGAATTATTTTTACAAAAGGATATTTAATTTTTACCTTCCAATGGATCATGCTGCACATTATTAGGATCCAATTCCTCCATGTTCATAAATTTATTAATGCGTTTTACAGAGACATAAGTCTGTAATGTAACATAAACATTAATTGAGAATAATTAATTGAGAATAAAACACTGAATATATATGATTGCATATACATACACACACACACATAAAAAAATAGCTTCAGTTACTTAAACTTACTTGAACTATATTACCAATCATCATAGGCAGCATAGAAAGTGGAAATCTTAAGATATTGAACAAACTGAGTGAAACAAAGGCAATTGTACTGTTTAGGACATTAGTTTCGTCTATAAGTACATAGGTTGTGAAAGATACCAATGCTACCTGCAATTTATGAAAGAGTAAGACAATATAAAAAGAGAAGAAAAAAAAATAACAAAATATCTCTTATATAAGTAATCAAAAACTTCGGGTATCAAATTTTTATTATAAAAATTATATCAAAAATATTATCGAATTATAAATTTCTAAGAAAAAAAGGGAAAAGTATTCTATTTATGAGGCACATATAAATTTATTATACGTACCAAAAAGGGTGCGCACGACCATATAAAGCTCGTGCCGGCATTCAAATATGCCGCTTCTTTTAACACTTGGATTTCTTTGACTCTGATTTTAAGTATCTGCTGCTCAAATGAAGGTTCCCACGCGTACAGTTTCAACACTTTAATACCATTAAGTACTTCGTTCATTAACTTTACCCTCTCGTCTTTGTTTTTCATCTGTTTGATTTGTAATGTTTTCACTTTGTTCGCGATTAAGCCATTTATGGGAATAAGAATGATCATAACTGCTAAACCAGCAAGTACCGCCGGACCCAACATATCCCATAGAAAATATAAAGCTAAGGCTATTTGTAGAGGAGCCGACCATATCATGTTTATGTATGCGGTTAAATCCATAAATCTTTGAGCATCTACAGACATTAGATTTACTATTTCACCGAGTGTGGATTCCTTCCTGGATGCGTTCGACAGTCTCAATGCTTTACGATAAATTGCCGCGATTAATGCGGTACGTATACGCAATCCAACTAAAAACATACGATGAAAATATTGGGATAGTATTAATGTCTGAAGTACTGCTGTAAGTAAAAGTAATACAGAATAAAAATATCCTTTCCATATATCGTCTTCTCCCTCGATAAAGGCAATTAAAAGCCTAAAAAAAAGAAGACGCATTATGAATAAATTAAGAACAATTAAAACATTTTTTTTTAAATATTGTTTCTGTAGTGTATTTTGCTTAATAAATCAAAATGAAATAAAAGCCTAAATTAGATATACATCAAAATTTGTGACATACTATTCGAATATAACTTACTTTAATATTTGAGGACTAATAAAAGTCATAATGTCTTGAATCATCTTCAGGAAAGCACCAAACGTGAATGTCGCACCGAAAGCTTTGCAGATAGGCGGTAAAATGGAAGCAATTTTCTTTTTTTGACTGCCATTAAAGTCCACTTGTCCAGATGCTTTTCGATATGATGCTTTTGCATTTTCTACTCTATATGTGTATAAAGAAATTATATATGTTTATAATTTAAATTGGATATTAATAATAAAAACAATTGAAAGATGCATACATAACACCTAATAATAATACTATCCTACCTAAAGTAAGTCCAAACCAGCCTTGTTAGCACAAGAAATGTATGAATATGTTAAAAAAGTTTTTATCAAGAGATACTATATCTTCTCTATATTTATAATAAATAATTATAATAGTATATATAAATATTTTCAATAAAAGATATATCCAAATAATATTTGTTGTACACACATACATACATACATACATACATATATATATATTTAAAGTAATAAATCTTGATGTATCAAAAATTTAACATTTCTAAATGTACTTTCTTTTCAATTTGTATATATATTTTGTTTTTAATATTACTATAATATTGTGTGATGTAAAATTTCTTTACAACCAGATCTTTTTATAAAAAAAATAAAATAAAAAAAAACCACAGTTAACCATACTGATTGCAGTTATTTGTATAGAGGAATTTACTAAGTAAACTTACTCGTCTCTTTTTATCAAACTTTTATTCCAATATTTATCAAATTTCGGCACTATTTCGGTGGCCATATCCTCTGGATTCATGGACCACAAATCGGATGTTTCGAGTGGTTTTCGGAAACCTTTCCATGCTAAGGCATCGAACCATGCAAAAAGAATTCTTGATGGGAAAGAAGAACTTTGTTCTGGACATGGTGTTTCGACCTGTGTGAGTGAACATATTTTTAATATGAATATATATATTTTCAAGACTGTTTACAAATATCGAAAAATTTTATACATTATATATTTTATAATTAATTCTAAAATTTTATGTGCATGTATATCACACAAACTTGATCAACTATGAACTTGATATTATATCTCAATAAAATCAATATAAGATATAATCTATTTATTACCGTAGGATATTCGGAGAATCTAGGCTCTGCGTCAACCAGGAAATTAAGTATAAACAATATCACAATTATTGGATAATAGATCATATAGCATACCGATAGATACATTGATCCCTAAAAACAAATTAATCATATTATTTCTAAGACTGTAACTAACTTTCTTGTAAAATATTATAAGAAACTGATAAGGAAATGAAATAGTAAAAATGAAATAAAAAAAGATTTAAGAAAATTATAAAAAAAACTATGTAGGAAATTCTTAATAAATATGCATACATATTCATGTTATTTTAATATCACAAAGATTTAACATACTTCTTTATTACCCATCAATACATTTATAGAAACTCTATATTGCACACATCCACATAAGACAAGAGAAAACCAAAATAGGAATAAAAGACCCGACGTCCGCATTCCATGTTTTTTATTATATGTCAATAAAATAGATGCTAATATCTGAAATATAATTGACAAATTAAATTATACATTATATGGACAATTTGTGTAATAAATAAGTAGAGAAAATTATTTTTCTCGCATTGTATAATATTTAATTAACACTTTTATTTTGAATAAAGAGTATTAAAATATATCTAGAATATATTATTAATATAAAATATGTTATTGTACTTACAAAGGTAACAATTTTTATAGATGGTGTGTAATAATCTACTCTGTAGACGTTACTTTCTTGCGTTACTAGTATTATTTCAATTACAGAAAGTAGAATTAATGCTATTGTAAGTACTTGTTTAGAAATAAATAACCATGTGTATGGGACATTTCTTCTTTTACTATTTATAAGGTAATATGCTTCCATCACTGAGAATACCCATAAAAATATACATGGTACCCATATTAGTATCGTTTTTTGGAAGCATTCTGTTAGATCTGGATCGTTTGTGTTCCATGTTAAATTAGCATCCTAAAACAGTCAGAAATTTTCCCTCAAAATATTAATCTCTGTTATATATATATATATATATATATATATATATATATATATATATATATATATCTATTCTATTCTATACATCTACTCTGTTATTTATCAAAATTTTCAATATAGTATTGCAAAGAAATAATGTTATTCAATAAATAATGTTATGAATCTTTATAATGGCTAATATTTCGATAATCAATCAAAATATGGAGATAAAAAAACATGATAAAACAATGCCTTTTAATTCATAGAAAATTCCAGGAAATTTATAGATATAATCTCTACCGCATAACGACTAAGCGTTGCAATACCTGACTCGTGCCGATACTAAATGCTAAACCGAATTTAAAAATGCTGTAGAATAAAAAAAAGGAAGAGAACTCGATGATATAAATAGTCGCTTTACTTGACGCGTTCGAGGAAATTAAACTATTGCACAACAATGTGCGTGGCAAACGTGAATCAACAAATCAATTACTTTGATAAATGTTTTGCTTTTTTCCCCGTATCTATTCGGTAACTCTTTTTCTGAATATTTATGCTCGCAAGTAGTATTAATTTCCATTAATTTCCATTAAGTATACATATAATATCATCTTATTCTTGTGATTATGAAAAAAATTTTATGATTACGTCCTTAATCAAATATTTTAGAAATTCGAGAATTTTTTTTATCGATTATTCTTATTAATAGAATTTATTAATATTATTTCCGTATTTATCGAGTCATTCGTTGCAAATTCTGCGCTAACGCGATACAAAGTTGCAAAGTTGTTTGCGTACAAGCATCCTCGTTTACGCTCGATATCATATTTGTCTTCAATCTTAAGTACATGACAAGATAATAAAATGCAGACATTTAGGTACCAATTGATAGAACGATTAGCGCAATATTTGCCTACTCGGCGCCTAAATCACGTTCCATTACGCGCGTCTTCTCTTCTCGCAATTTTAAGAAATGACATCGCACAATATCATAAAAATGACATTCCCTTATACATTGGAGCTCTATTATTAATCATTACGAAAGACCCATTCTCGTAGTCTAAAGACAGTAACGAGCTCGACGACTTTAAAAGCCGAAGGATTGAGACATCGTGGCCTTTCGGAATCATCGAGAGCGTCAACAGAAAGATCAAACTTGATTGACCGATATTGATGTCAATTGTAAACTCGGCGAAAGAAGGCGTTCGGGGAAGCAGCTGCTCGAGTCGTACAGCGACTGCCAAAAACCGCGAGAGAACGAGAAAGGGATTCGTACACTCCCCATAGGCGAGGCGAATCGGGGACAGAGGACGGGGAAAAAACGCGAAAGAGGAAAATGGGCAAAAGGAGGAAAAATGGCCTTATAATTCGCTCACCCAAAACTTGCTGCCGCAAAACTCGTCCATCGCCTGCTGTTCCATACTGACACATTTAATCAGCCGGCAAGCCTTGTCAACGCAACGAGCCGTTCGCGAGCACCACGCCAGGCGCACTAGAGAACTAGAGGATCGTAGATCGACCTCTTCGTCGCGTGAGAAGTCGCCCTCGTCCCCCTCAGTCGTTCGTTCACTCCCCACTAAGGATTCACACTACACTACGGCACACAATGCGAATGAGGCACGCGTAATAATATGCATGGGGGAGGCGTCCAGCGAATCGACGAGCGAATTCACGAGCGAATCTACGAGCGGTGCGCACGAGCCATTCGGATGTCGCTCCAAAGAAACACCCAAGGCATCTGCGAAATTGCGTGAAAGCGTGAAATAGAGAACTCGTCCTTGCCTATCGCGCGATAATCCGTGCATATCGAGTGAAGGTACTGTCCGATATTGTTGCCCAATGAACATCGAGCGACGTGATTGACGTAGCCGATGGCGGGGCTTGAGTTGGACGAATCACGACGCGAATTCGGACCCGGGCGCGAATATCACGAGTATCCTACGAATCGTATTCACGCGCACGTTACATGTTGTTTTTGACAGTTTCGGATAAATTATCTCTCGAAAAATATCTTTCGATAAAAATATCGACACTCTTTTTATCGATAAGCGACTGATTGAGGTTTTTGCCAGAAATCACATTTTCCTCTTCTCTAGAACTTTAAACAAATGACGAGCAATTTTCAATTCGAGTGGATCCTGCCTTCGCAAGAAATTTAAATTTTTACTTTATAAACGAAGATATAAATACAGGAGTTTGATAATTATAGAAATGATTCCATTAAAATAATCTCTGAATAAAGTGTATCTCTCGATGACAATGCACGAGCTAAAATTATAAATTATGTCACTTTTAATCGTATTAACATAACTTTGGGTAATTAAATTGCGTTCGCGCGATCTCGCAATCGATAAACATCTCAAATGAGACGAGTGCAACAATATACATATATGTATAGTTATGTTAACGGTACACTATACGAGATGTATAGCTGCGAGATCGCATCGCGTTGCATATATATATACGTGCATGTATTACATGTGTAAATAAAATTAACGATAGATTGTATCGTTATGTTGTAACGACAATTGTCTTATTAATATTACTTTTGTAATAAACATGAATATATATTATATATTGAACGAGAGCAAAAATATATATAAATTCAAGATTTTAATTTTTTGCAAATATATATCTATGCATTGTATTTTATTCGTAATGAAATTTGCTATTTATTCGCTTAGTGTTGTTAAAAAAATCTTATTCGTCCGCTGTACGTTCACCTGAAAATTACCTATTTCAACTTGTTTACAATAGATATTGACATATGATTAAGAAACTCGCTTTATTCTCGGTCATCTCACAGAAATTTTTTTTTTATTTATTACTTTTTACTGTATGATTTATTTGTACGTAGTTTTCATAAAGACATATGTGTAAAAAATGTCTATTACACGATAAACGTTATCTATCATGCATTATGCATCATTGTATATTTATATAATACGGTACTCAACTATCGCCAAAGAGCGCTTTTATGCAACATTGAATGCGTGAACGGAGACCTTGGAGAATCCGGCAATCATATCTTATTGATTGCATATGTGAGAGAATATAAGTATCTGTTTTAAGCGTGAATACGCATACACATACATATGCAAAACGATCTCGCATCCGCCCATATAGTATCTGAAATAACTATATTTACGTATATGTATATCGTACACTCGTCTCGCCTGAGAAGCTTATCGATTGCGAAATCAAGCGCAATTTAATTACGTAAAGTTACGTTGACACAAAGTACATAATACATAGGTATTATTGCAACAAAGTGCAAGTTCATTATTAAAAATGGTATCATTTTAATTTATCATGCCATATATAGAATACGAGGAGGAGAAAGAGAATATTGATTATTATCATTCTCGAGATTTAAAAAAAACCCAATTATTATATTGATATCACCGAAATTATGTTAATATCAGTATTGATTAAAATTAAAAACTCAAATATAATTCAATGACATGACACATAATTTTTGAGAAATCAGTTGCCAACTCATGTCGGCTGACAATATAAGGCTGTGATAAATATATTACAAATATGTATTATCATCTTGTTAATTCTTTTTTGGTAGATATTGATAATATAATATATATACATATAAATTACATTATTGATTTACTCAAGATGTTATCATATAAAAATGTGCTACGTCATATAGATACTGTAGATGACACATACAATGACTGTGACAATTATATTATGAAAGAAAATGATTTCATGATTTTACTATGAAAGATTGAAGAGAGATTTAAATGTCGAAGATACTATACAAACATCTCTCATAATCAATAGAACATTATAATTTTTAAAAATAATGATTAAATTATTTTCTCCTTAAATTAAAAAGAAAATCTCATTTTATATAATTCTTTCCTTGTTCTTCCTTTAGATGTACATTTTTATTTTTTTTTTCTATTTTTAAAATCGTGAATATGCACGACTTTAAAATCTGATTATAAAGTATTATTTGTGCTATTACTCGCAATCATATTTATGACGTGACTTTGTCATCTGTTTTTGTGCAAAAATTGCACTGTTAATAAGAGCAAAAACTTGCGTCAGCAATTCGCCGGTGTCTGCGTTAATATATACATACATATATCATACATTCACATAGTCTTTAGAACACGATTATAATGATACGAAACACTGATTTTAGACAATGGATTCGTGCGTCTGACGAAGCGTACCCTAAGTGTGGACAATGATTATAATGACAATACACTGACTTTAGATTCTAGATAAACGCTGAGTCACTGTGTGTTAAATTTTCTCTTCCCGCTACTATATTATATTGTAATATATTCTAGTACAAGAGTATGCGTAAAAATTAAATGGAGAGAAGTCTCTTTTTATCTCTTCAATTAAAAGGGATAAATATTTTAGCCCTTATTATAATTATTTACATTATATTTTTAAGTTTCTTAAATTAGCAAAACAAAATTTATTCCATATTATATAACTACGCTCAAATGATGATGTTAACAAATATAATAATAACCCATATGATCAAAAAAATGAAAAAAATATCGATATAAAGATAATGAATAAGATGTATTTTATTTTTCTAATAAAAATAAATATGTATTGGGCATATATGTATATATATATTTACGCGAAATATATGACCACAAAACATATTTTATAATATATAGCAATAAATAAATTGATAAAGAATACGGCTCTATGTATTTAGCAACATAATTATGAAACGAGCGATAAGAGCCTAAAAACGCGGATGGTATTGCGTAAATTTTTTATTTTATTTTATTTTTTTTTATATATAACTTGGCATATACACCAAGTAAAATATATGTATAAATCTTGTGCACGTCTTAAAAAAATTTTTCCGCGAACAATTAATGTTAAAAAAAAAAAAAAAAAAAAAATGTATGCAATACCATCCGCGTTTTTAGGCTCTTATCGCTTGTTTCATAATTATATATAACAATAATGAAAAATGTATGAAAAAATACAAATTATTCAAATTTAATACTACACTATAATGCAATCATAGAAATATTAAATAGATACGTGTAATCTAAAATGTATGAAAGATAAAATCAAAGATTTAAACAAATAAGATATAATAAGAAAACACACAAATGTAGAAGTAAAATATGTCTATGGGAAAATTTACATCTTATTAAGGACTCTCGCATGCATCAGTACGATATTAAAATGATTAATTAATAATTTATATATTATAATTTATAATAATGTGATAGAAGGAGTGATATAACATTTTGTGCTTCAGTCTTATCGTTTTATACTTAATTTTCACATTATAATTAAAACAACACATTATTGAAAAATTTCTATATAATTATAGATTAGATTTATATATATATAAATATAAAACACATGATTAAATTAATATTGGCGATAATTCTATTTTCGTATAAAATTATTCACATCTTTTCGCCAAAATTATAAATCTTTAATCTGAAATTTCGTGACCTACATTTGAAAAATGCTGTACATGCGAAATTGCTCGGCATAAATATTTTACGCTTACTAATGCTTCAGAAAAAAATATTTTGTGTTTACTAATGCTAACATTGTGTTGAGCATTGGAACATATCGTATAACTTTGAATATAAAGATATATGATTTGATGATCAGTTTTAATGGGTTCTTTAAAAATTTTGATTTTTTTTTATCGATATAATTATAAAATTTAAATATTATGAATAGAATGAATATGGTTTGTGTTAATCAAAGTCATATAATGTCAATAAAAACTTTGTACTTAGAACTGCAGAACTTTGCGAACTGTCATTATTTTCACACTAAAATATGTTTTGTCCAGTATTGTCTAGCATACAGTCCTGATATAAATAAATAAAGCAAATGATTCATCAATTTCGACATATTTCTTATTATATAATATAGACATCTCACATATTACAAAACAAGATCTATATATATGTAATTGTAGATATTTCTAATCGTGCATGTGTATTGAATAAAGTTTTCATTTCAGACGATCGTTATTTGGGAATTGAAGATCTCTATAGAAATGTTTATGATTTGACACAAACACTTATTCAATGATACTTATTTTAAAAATTATGTAGTACATGCTTATATAAGAGGTGCTAGTATACATTTTATCATATATAATAAATTAAATAATATATTTTATACCATATGTCTTATATTTTAAAATATATAGCTATTATAATTATATGAATAGTGAATAATTTATTTTACAGTACTATCTACAATATTAATTTTACAAGTAATAAAATAAAATTTAAGATACAAAATTGTATGAAAATTGTATGCATATTATAAATCATATAATAAATATATTTTTCTGAAATATTCTTTTTTATGTGATATCACTTTTTTTCATTTTTTTAATAAATAAATGAATAAATAAATTTTTAACAAGGAATTATGTTGTTTGTCAAGTAAATGCAATTTGCGTTGTATTCTCAAGTTTTTATCATTTTGAGAATAATTAAGTTATTTTCAAAATATAAAAACAAGGGAAATTTAATGGTGGAATCTTTTAGATTGTATGC